ACCGGGCCCCGAAACCTAAAAAATTTCTCAAAAAGCGTGGATATTAGCCTTCAATTTTGGAATTTTTTGACTTTTTTTTCGCACGGAAATAAAAATTGCCGAAATGTTTACCATTGTTTTTAATATCCTCTGGGAGTCCAATTGGGTGGGTAGAATCATTTAATTTACCTTTAAACGGCGAATTTACCGATTTACAACTTGCACCGATTTCATTAACTCAAGCCTACCACGAACATTTATGACAACGTATGATGATCATATATAGTTCCAAATGGCATCATATGACCCCGAGATGTATCCCTTAAAATCTCAATGTTTTTCGACACCGGGCCCCGAAACATTCAAAATTTCTCAAAGAGCGTGGATATTAGCCTTTAATTATGGGATTTTTTGACTTTTTTTTCGCCCGAAAATAAAAAATGCCAAAATGTTTACCATGGTCCCTAATACCCTGTGGGAGTCCAATTGGGTGGGTGGAACCATCCAATTTGCCTTTAAACGGGGAATTTACCGATTTACAACTTGCACCGATTTAATTAATTCAAGCCTACCACGAACATTTATGACAACATATAATGATCATATATGGTTTCAAACGGCATTATATGACCCCGAGATGTATTTTCTAAAATCCCAAGCCTTTTCGACACCGAGCCCCGAAAGCACCAAAATTTCTCAAAAAGCATGGATATGCTTCAATTTCGGATTTTTTTACTTTTTCGCACGGAAATAAAAGTTGCCGAAACGTTTACCATGGTCCCTAATACCCTCTGGGAGTCAAATTGGGTGGGTGGAACCATTTAATTTGCCTTTAATCAGCTAATTTACTGATTTACAACTTGCACTGATTTCATTAATTCAAGCCTACCACGAACATTTATGACAACATATGATGATTATATATGGTTCCAAACAACATTATATGACTCCGAGATGTATCTTCTAAAATTTCAAGTCTTTTCGACACCGGGCCTCGAAACCTCCAAAATTTCTCAAAAATCGTGGATATTAGCTTTTAATTTTGGAATTTTTTGACTTTTTTCGCTCGCAATTAAAAATTGCTGAAATGTTTACCATGGTCACTAATACGCTGCAGGAGTCTAATTGGGTGGGTGGAACCATCCAATTTTCCTTTAAATGACCAATTTACCGATTTACAACTTGCACCGATTTCATTAAATCAAGCCTACCTCGAATATTTATGACAACATATAATGATCATATATTTATTAAATCAAGCCTACCACGAACATTCATGACAACATATAATGATCATATATGGTTCCAAACGGCATTATATGACTCCGAGATGTATTTATTAAAATCTCAAGGTTTTTTGACACCGTACCCAACTTCAAAAATTTCTTAAAAAGCGTGGATATAAGCGCCCGGAAATTAAATATGCCAAATTTTTTACCATGGTCCCTAATATCCTCCGGGAGTCCAATTGGGTGGGTGTATCCATCCAATTTACCTTTAAACGACCAATTTAACGGTTTACAACTTGCACCGATTTCATTAAATCAAGCCTACCACGAACATTTATGACAACATATAATGATCATAAATGGTTCGAAATGGCATTATATGACCCTGAGTTGTATCCCCTAAAACTTCAAGGCTTTTTGACACAGGGCCTCGAAACCTCGAAAATTTCTGAAAAAGCATGGATCTTAGCCTTCAATTTTGAAATTTTTTGTCTTTTTTTTCGCTCAATAATAAAAATTGCCGAAATGTTTATCATGGTCCCTAATACTCTCTGGGAGTCCAATTGGGTGGGTGAAACCATCCAATTTGCTTTTAAATGGCCAATTTAGCGGTTTACAACTTGCACAACACTGATTTCATTAACTCAAGCCTACCGCTAACATCTATGAAAAAATATAATGATTATATATGTTTGTAAACGGCATTATATGACCCCAGATGTATTCACTAAATTCTGGAGACTTTGCGACATCGGCCCCCGAAACCTCTAAAATTTCTCAAAAAGCCTTCAATTTTGGAAATTTTTGACTTTTTTCGCTAGTAAATAAAAATTGTCGAAATATTTACCATGATCCCTAATACCCTTCGGTAGTCCAATTGGGTTGGTGGAACCATCCAATTTGCCGTAAAACGGCCAATTTAATTATCGATTTACAACTTGCACGGATTTTATTAACTAAAGCCTAGTATGAACATTTATGACAACATATAATGATCATATATTGTTCTAAAAGGCATTATATGACCCCGAGATGTATTACCTAAAATTTCAAGACTTTTTGATACCGGGCCCCGAAACCTCTAAAATTTCTCAAAAAGCGTGGATATTAGTCTTCAATTATTGAAATTTTTGACTTTTTTTCACCCGGAAATAAAAATAGGCGAAATGTTTACCATGGTCCCTAATACCCTCCGGGAGTCTAATTGGGTTGGTTGAAACCATCCAATTTACCTTAAAGCGACCAATTTAATTAGCGGTTTACAACTTGCACGGATTTCATTAACTCAAGCCTTCTACGAACATTTATGAAAACATATAATGATCATATATGGTTCCAAACGACATTATATGACCCCGGGATGTATCCCCTAAAATGTTTATTCTTTTCTACACCGGGCCCTGAACACTCTGAAATTTCACAAAAAGCGTGGATATTAGCCTTCAATTTTGAAATTTTTTGATTTTTTTTCACTGGAAAATAAAAATTGCCGAAATGTTTACCATGGTCCTTAATACCTACCGCGAGTCCAATTGGGTGGGTGGAACCATCCAATTTGCCTTTAAACGACCAATTTACTAGTTTACAACTTGCACCGATTTCATTAATACAAGCCTTCCATGAACATTTGTGACAACAAATAATGATCATGTATGGTTTCAAACGGCATTATATAACCCCGAGATGTATCCCATAGAATTTCAAGACTTTTCGACACCGGGCCCCGAAACTTCCAAAATTTCTTAAAAAGCGTGGATATTAGCCTTTAATTTTGGAATTTGTTGACTTTTATTCGCCCGGAAATAAAAACTGCCGAAATGTTTACCATGGTCCGTAATACCCTTCGGGAGTCCAATTGGGTGTGTGGAACCATTTAATTTGCTTTTAAACGACTAATTTATCGGTTTACAACTTGCACCGATTTTCCGGTTTACAACGGCCAATTTCATTAACTTGGACCGAACCTGACTTAGCTTGAACCGAACCCGTTTTAACCTGTCAAAACCCAAAATTAACCCAACTTGTTACTATCCTAACCTGAATTCAACCCGACCCATTCCTAACCCGACCCGAATTCAACTCAACCTGTTACAAACCTGACCCGAAATCAACCCGACTTGTTATTGACCTGACCCAAATTCAACCTAACTTGTTATTGACACGAGCCAGATTTTACCATACCTATTACTTACCCAACCCAAAAATTTAACCCAATCTGTTACTAACCCGACTCGAAATTAACACGACTTGTTATTGACCCGACCTAAATTCAACCTAAATTGTTCCTGAACCTGATTTCAAATCACCTTAAATGCAAATTAGACCACCTTATTATTGTTGATCAAAGCATTTTGTCTAGGGAGACCAAGTCGGTCCACGCCAGCAAAAGAAAGGAGCATCATCCTCAAATTTAAGAGTTAAATTTAGTATATATTTGTCGTATGGTCAAAGGAGATAATTATCTTCCTAAATTATAAACTATAGTTCCCTAGTATATTGCCATATATATTATAGTCAAAAGAAATAATTAGCTTGATAAAAATGATAATTATCAATTTATAGTTAGTTGAACCCGAATATAACCTGACTTGAAAATGACCCGACCTGATTATAATTCGCAAATTATTGACTTGAACCGAACCCGACTCAAACCCGAGAATGACCCGACCTGATTCTAACCTGCAAATTATTGATTTGAACCGAACCCGACTCTAACCTAAGAATTACCCTAACCCATTTTAACCCGAATTAAACCTGATCTTGTTCACCTGACCCGAATGTAACCCGACATGTTTATTAACCCGACCTAAACCCGACCCAAACCCGATAAGAAGTATGACCCGACATGACCCGACTCAAGCATGACGCAACCCAAACCCGACCCGCATAGGTTATGGAATTAATCTGAATTGACCTGACCTGACCCACTCTTTCCCAACCCCAACCCAACCCATTTACCCGAATTGACAGCTCCAGTCTCAATGTGCCTCATGCTTTTTAAACTCCTGCTTGAGGGTGTTCTTTCTTGATTGCTGACTTTATACCTTTAAGTGAATTGGTCTTTCAGACCACTTGATATCCATAATCATCTTAAATTTTGACCATCTCTCTAATTTTAGCAAGTGTTTGCTCTAATTTTATCGCCATTTTTTGGACGTGTGGACGTGTTCTGTATGCTGCTATCTTCATTAAGCCATTTCCTTTAATTTACTTCTCTCATATAATAAGTCTTCTTTCTTGGTTTGGGTCTTGAGGTGCTTCCCGTCATGACTCATGAGGTGTAATATGAGGATCCGGGATTTCCAAAGGATATGCACTATATAAGGTTGTTTATACCAGAAACCAGCCAAAGGAAAAACCATGCATTTTATGACCAACTTTTTTTTAACTATATGCAAGAAAGTGATAAATCCAACAAGTTCTGTTTTTCAATATATTTGACTCTTTTCCCTCTGGAGTTGGAGCATCAACTCCTGGTACTATGTAGACTATGAATATCTATACGCTGTACTATCAAGAGATAGGAAGGAGAGGCTATGTTCTCCGTTGATTCACTTTAATCTATTATGTGTCTGAATTCTGAATTCCATTTTTTGCATCTTGTTCTATGTGACTTTTGGGGTATTACACAATCAAATTATTTTATATACATTTCTTCCCACTTTGGTCATGCACATACACATAACACATCCATGCTTCAAGGCCTCAACATACATCCATATATGTCAATCAACAATACTTTCAAGAAACCAATTCTTATTGACTAGTGCAGGTTGTTTGTGTATGTTTCAGGGTATTATTGGGTTGATCAGCGGTTCTTCGGGCCTTGACAGCTCTGGCCTCAGCTCTTCTGCTGCGGTAAGTTTAAAGCTTACTGAGTTCTATGTGCTAAACTAATTGACAAAATGGTTGATTATGGAACTTTTACTCTATAATCAATAACTAGTTTTCCAGTTGCTGGTAGTATCCCTAGAGATGTAGGAGGATTAATTTATTCAACCTATTGTTCGTAAACTTGTGCAAATATCTGATTCAATCATAGTAACTCATATTATGTTATTCCTTGGCATTTCAGTTAATTCTCTCCCATGTCCATGGGTATAATATCATTTGACTTGTCGTTTTGACAATTGTGCCAAAAAAAGTTTTTTGGATGATGATATTTGGCTGTAGACAGATAGTTAAAAACTCGAAAATTAAGACCTTTTGAGCAAGCATCTTTTTGGTTATTGTAGGAGTTATTGGCATCAGTTAGTGTTCCCTAAAAATTATCTCGTGGCAAGGAAATTGATACAATGCTGTTGTAATGACAGTGTTGAAGGATTCTTTTGACTCACGCGTACTCAGACATGCATATGCAGACACTTATCTAGCTGTAAAATGTCATTTCTTTGATCTGCAAAGCAGTAACTGATTAGTGATACTTGTTTTAATGATTTAATCTTTTTGAATGAGATCTTTTGAGTTGTTTACTACATTGATTGATTACAACTTGCTGAATTCAGGTTGGAGTTGCTTACTTGTTGGCTCTGGAAAATGCAAATAATATATCAGTATCTCCAACAGAAAACATTGAGTACGATCGGTAAGCTCACATACTAAAAATGCTTCTGTAATCAGGATCATGATTATTGATTTTTATTGTCTCCAAGTGTCGATGTTGACACTGACTAATACGGAGTAATTTTTTTGTATAAGTTGCAAATTCGATTATAGTATTAAAAATTATGAGAAAATAACTTTTTACCAGATTTAGTCACAAATATGAAAGTTAGGTTAATGTTCAGATAATGTAAGTCAAACAAAAAAATATTTAGAAAATGCAAAGAAAATTAGTTCATACAAAAAAAAAAAAAAAAAAAAAAAAGCTCAGATAAAATAAAATAAGTTCATACATATAAAATAATTTCAGACAAAATCAGATTAACCAAACAGAGCCTAAGTCATTATGGGAGAGGTGCTATCTTTCTGTCACCTCTATATAGGAGGATGTGTGTGTGTGTGTGTGTGCGCGCGCGCGCACGCGCTGTGTTGTTAAAAATTAAGAAACTTTTTTTCTTCCGTATGAAATTCTGATCATACTCATGTGATACCTTGGCATGTCACTGACTCTTTTATATGAGTTTAACACAGTTGCATGAGGACTCAAATCTATTTTGACCCACTCTTCGGCTGTTACATGCTTAGGATTGGAAGTTTCTTGTGTTGGAAAATTCTAAATTCTAATTTTGGTAGCGGCTAGTGATATTCTTTTTTTACTGGGTAGCAGTAAGCTAAGAAGAGCTTCTCAGAATAGATTCGGAGCAAGTGTAGCTTGTAGGTCCTACAGGACAATATGTATAATTTTGAAACTCTGTTCCTGCATTCCTTTGCTAATACAGGAGAGCAAAATGAGCTTCATGAATTATTTTACAAACAAAAGTTTCTCTATATATAGTGGATGTTATAAGCTTTTTTTGAGTAGGGGGTAAGGTGGTGGAAGTGGATCTGGAGTGGCTTTTCTTGATTCATAAAAAAATATTGTGGATTGTTGTGCATTTTGTCCTAATCAAACTTTGAACATCAAATTCCTTCACTTGTAGGCTGATTGAAAATGAATATCTAGGGTTGAACAATGGCATATTGGATCAATCTGCAATATTACTTTCAAGACAGGGTTGTCTAACCTTCATGGACTGTAAGGTACTTTCATATTATTCAGTACTCTCATCATTTGCTTGATCTCTAATGTTAGAACATATAAGCTGCAGTGCATTTGCATGCTTGGAGCCTATGTTACTCAGACTTTGATTCTTGTGTCAGTCAATGTCGAATGATTCATCCATCATATGAACAAGTTCCAAAATGAGATGTTCTTTACTATTATATCCATGTCATGGGGTTGAGCATCCATCTAGGCTTTCTAAGATCTTGAAACACTGAGTTTGAGCAACAAGCTTAAGCCCTGGTTTTTCCTTTTGACAACTTTGCTCTTTTCTCTGGTGTGATTTTAGCATATAGCCACCAATTTAAAAATATTTTACATGTAATTTTCATATTCTCTTGTATCCTTGGTCTGCAGTAATATATGAATACCTTTTTTTTTTTCCTTTCAAATTCTCAATTATGTTGTTAGTCAAGTTGCCAAAGAAACAATGTTGTGAGGTATGCAAATACTCATTCAAGGGAATTTCAATAGAAATACAAGTGTGTGACATGATTGATAACGGGTGATGTGTTGGTAAAACTCCAAAATAACAGAGATTTGTGCTGTATACTACAAAGAAGATGCCCATGATTAGAACATAATTGTTACCTGGAGAAGAAAGAAAACAATGATTTTGGATAAATTGTTGCAACTAGACTATCATGCTCTCCTTGTGTCACCGAAATCTGAAAGATTCTTATCCTTCTTTGGATTGTAATCAATGCATTAATCTTTCTCATAAACTGTTTTCCTGGGTTCAATACTCATATTTACAGACCAAAGATTACAAGCTTGTAAACTTGAAAGAGAATGACATAGAAGTGCAGAAATCATACAAGATATTGTTGGCATGTTCTGGCTTGAAGCATGCTTTGACTAGTGGTGTTGGGTATAATCGCCGAGTTGCTGAATGTCAAGAGGCAGCAAGAGTTCTCCTAGAGTGAGGATTTATTCTTCTATGATGTCATTCTTCTTTGTTTTCCTTCATGGTTTTGCATTTCACTACCTTTTCATTATTATTTGTGTACTTAAAAGAGAACATCCTTTTGTGCTTTTTATTAGTTATTGGGGAAGATTTCGTTAATTAATCAACCCATGTATTTCATTAGATAGGTAAAATACTTGCTGGCTATCTTTAAAATTAGAGAATGGATGAGTTTATAATGTCACTGGATGCTTACGTTGCCATACAAAGCTTACTGTCAGTTATGCCTGTATATACATCAAATACATTAGTAACCCTCATTTGTTTGACCATTGCAGTGCTGCTGGGAAGCATGAAGTAGAGGCTGTTCTATCCAATGGTCAGGATCTGCTCATATGGCTGATTTAAAGTATTTTATTACGTGTTGTTGACCTTATCAGTAATTCTAATGCTTGGTTCTCTTGCTCGAGCAGTTGAACAGGAAGATTATGAAGCTCACAAGGTAGTCAGCCTTATCTACCAATCTACTACGATACTGTTTATATAGTCCTGGTGAAATATAATGTACTTATACACTAACTTTTCATATCACTGCAACATTTACTGAGTTAAGGTGTTTGACATTCTGGTTTCTGGATTACAGTCATTACACTTATATTCCTAGCGCATAAAATTACAACACAAGAATTTCAAATCTTTCGTGAATTACAGAAAATATTTAATTCTATCTTTTTCTTATTGATTATAGGACAAGCTAGAACCTCTTCTTGCTCGTAGAGCAGAGCATTATTTCTCAGAGAACATGCGTGTGAAGAAAGGTAATCCTCCACTCGCAACTTGCTTTATGTTATATCAGCTGTTTCATTCCTTTCCAGTTTTGTTCCATGCATTGTATTATATTTTAGCATGTGTTTACCCTGATTTGATTCAGGAATTGAAGCATGGGCTTCAGGTAGGATGGATGATTTTGGAAAATTAATTACCGCCTCTGGTCAAAGTTCAATACAAAATTATGAATGTGGTATGCATCATATCATTATTTCCCCTCTCTTTCAAGGTCATTGATGATAATTTCTAAGCTGTTGTCCTGCCCATAATAACAATTGCTGTGTTTTACTTTACAATCCAAATATAACTTTCTTAAGATTTATGCATATGAATTATTGTGTTTATTCTGTCATAAATCATAATGCATTGAATTAAATTCTGACTCACTCTCGTCATGATTCTCCCATAATCTCAGGGTGTCAACCTCTGATGGACCTTTATGAAGTCCTCTTGAGAGCTCCTGGTGTATATGGAGCCAGGTTCAGTGGTGCTGGTTTCCGAGGATGCTGCATTGCATTAGTCAATGCAGATCTCGCATCAGAAGCTGCTTCATTCGTGAAAAGGGAATACAGCAAGCTTCAACCCGAACTGGTCAGTAAGATCGACCAAGAAGCTGCAGTATTGATTTGTGAATCGACGGATGGTGCTCGTATAATTGCTGCCCCTTAACTTGATCATACTACATTCTTTACAGTCTTGTTGACTCAATCTGCTTAATTCATTTATTAGTTTATTGTATCTATTCATATGTAGTTGCATGATATCATTTTTTAGAAAACGAAGCACAATCTTCTTCCCTTTCCTTGGGAAATACCTTATAGTACTATGATTGATAAAATACTCTCTATTTCTTTTTATCTATTACATTTTTTTTAAAATAAATTTTTAGAGAGCCACAAAGGGCGGGGGTGAGAATCGATCTCAGTCTCTCGAAATCAGGAGAGAAGCTCTAACCACTTGAGCTATCCCTCACTCTCACTCTCATTTTTTTTTAGAAAAAAAAATAGTGCATTTCTACAATCACTTAATAAAAGATTAATTAACTACTGTAGAAACATAACAAATTACCACACTGGTGTGTATGACTTGCTTATAAAATGGACATTTATCATCACTTCTTTTTTTTTTTTTCCTCAATGTCATTTTTCCTTGTCAATAAACCATTGGACAAGTAATTTTGAAGGAATAACTGAATTAGTCTATCAATTCCTTAAAAAAAAAATCTACTATTAATTCTACTTCAATATTATTATATACCTTGAAAAGAAATATTCATTTCATATATGAACGTCTGGAAAGATTTGCTACTAGGTCTATATATTTCTACATCTTGTGAACATTTGTTTGGATGCTTTTTTTCAAAATCGATCTGTTTTAATTTTTTAAGAAAAATAAATACATAAGTACTTTTTTTTTCCTGCTACACAATTCCTTTATCATAAATCTAAAGGGAAAAATTGACTATTTTCACAATTTGAATCTTGATAATCAACTTAATCATACTCTTTTTCTTTTAATAATTTTGGATTTAAAAAAAAAAAAAAACAATTCTAAAGTTGTCAAACAAATACATTGTAACGTACAACAACCACATACATTTAATACGGAGTAGATCATTGGCTAAATCACCAATATTCGGCAATTAATTTGACAAATACTTCATTAATCTATTTTTCTTCAATTATTAGATAAAAAAAATCGATCCTTAAGTCATTAGTCAAATGCGGAGTACATCATAACAAACAAATCAAACAACCACGAACAACTAAGAGACTCATTCTTATGAAAAAAAACAACCCACTAAAATATGTGAATTGCTAAATACGGTCATAAATTTTTCAAACACTAACATAATTATTACAAAAATTCGCCCTACCCCTCCTTTTTTTTTCCCTAAATGTTAATCCACCTAAAAAATGAAATTGTACTTGCATGTCCGGAGAATCTTCAACTTAGGCTTAAAATCAAAGCATATAATAAAATTTATGATTGCTCAATCAATCCACAAATTATATTTGAAAAAATATATCAACCTATCCACGTTAAATTATCCCATACTAAATTTTATAAAAATGAAAATAATTGAAGTATAAATTAATAAATAATTGCTTGACTTCAAATCCCATGTTCCTATCCACCTCTATACACGAATTGAACACGGTATGTGAATGTGCTGATGTGCATATGCCCTGCCTTGAACTAATTTAGCCACTTTTTTTTTCTTTTACATTTTTTTTGTCCTTTTGGTTGTTTAATTCGGCTAATAATTAACAAATTAATTAGAAAAAAAAATCATTGGCTAATTCCCCAAAAATTAGGGCAACATATATATACATTTAAAAATCTTTAGGTATCATTTGAGCAATAAAATAATCATTAACCATAAAATTCTAGAAGAGATGGAGTAACGAATTATTGATTAAATGATTGAAACTAGAAATTCAACTAAAATTTCAATCTATCTAATATAATCAAATTGTTGAGAAGAACCCAAATTCGACCTTCACGAATTACGTTTGACTGGGTGCAGGGGGTTCACTTGATTCCGCCTCCTACTAGATTTGAAACAAGTGAAAATAAGGAGAACAGAACTCTTATTACTTGTCGTTTGTGAAGTATAATTAAATACCGAGAAGATAAAGCTATGAGTGCGAGTACCATTTTTTTTTTTAACGTTAAGTATCACATACTTCGTATAATTTATTATGAATTGGTAATCTACGCAATGGGACAATGGTTAAGTAAAAAAAATTCCTATCCAAGTAACTGCCCAATTTCCTACGAAAATTTATTGATTGAAACTTGGATATTGCTGTGCAAGTCTATACTCTACACCATGTTCATAAATAATCTTTAACCATATTTGCTGCTTATTCAGAGATCTCCTGTCATTATATAGCCACTTAATAAAAATAATCTACGAAAATGCCTCATTGCCCATAGAGCCAATTTGGGAGTATTTTATAATTTTCATTTTTGGAATTCTAAATAATTAATGTTTGTGTAAAAATAAAAAAGATTGATTTTTGTTACGTTGTTCATATAAGAGTCAATATCTTGGTCATTTTTAATTATTTTTTTACCTTTTGATAAATTAGGTTTCAATTTGGTCGGTCAAAGAGAACACGAGTTTAGTGACACAGGTCAACAATTGAGAGTAGAGTGGGAATTAAGAGAATCATCCTCCTTCTAAGCAAATGTAGATGTAAGGCTTGAATTTGAGACCTCCAAGTTACAAAGTGAAGTCCCCACTATCTCCATTCATTTGTGCCAGATAATATAAACTCCTTGATTAGAGTGATTTCCATTGATCAATATTTATAGGGTTACAATGAGTAATCTAATCATATTAGGTAACTATAAGATATGTATAGATATCAAAGATAATCTTATACAAAATATATCCTAAACCTAGAATGAGAATATTCTATGGATATTCTCTATCACACCCCCGTAGTCGGAGCGGGAGAAAATCGGATGCTCAAACTAGATCTGAATCAAGCATCGAGCGGTAAGGATAGTATGGTAACCCATGATCAAAAGAGAAGTAGTAGACATATGCCGGTGATGACGATTAGAAGCAACAACCACGACCTACGTAGAGTAGAGATAAGCACTGCTAGGCCGGAGGAGAAGGAGAAGAGTCGCACACAGACTTGGGCTAAGTTGCAGATCCAGAGAAGAAGAAGCTAAGGGATCAAACCATCATCGGGAAGAAGACACTACACTACTACGGGAAATCACAGTTGAAGAAAAAACAAATAAGATAGCATAAATCCCACACCACTTAACCACTAGTAAGTGTTTACCTCAAAAAAAAAATTGACCTACACAACAAGATAAATTCCACCAAATTAAAACAAGCTAAGTAGCGGTTGGACTTAGAGAATAACAAATTCCACCGCATGTACTTGTGATAATTAAAATTAACAATAAATTGAAAAGGTAAAAAATATAAGTGTTGTTAATGCCAAAAATCCAACACTCTCTTTAAGTTATTGTAGTGTAGTTGAACAAGGCTCCTGCCAAGTAGAAGGGGTCAGGAGCAAGACTACAATGTAACTAAGGTGGTGGAGGCCAACAACGACATTGAGGAAAAAAAAAAGACAAACAAAAGGGTGGTTCGTCTCGTGGGTCTGGCTCATCCAAGACTATTATCAGTCATCGAATACGCTATGCAAGATTGCATTTCACTCACAGATTAGGCTAAAGAAGGAAGACTATGAGTGAGCTAGGTGGCGTATTAGGTGGAGAACCAAGAGGTAGAGGTGGTGCACAAAGCTCCTATGTGTGGTGGGAATTAGTTGGAGCACAAGAGGGCTTGTTGGTGATGGTCAACCATCGTACTCCATAATTAAAACGCGGAAGCAAAAAAAAAAAAAGTGTGTTTTATGTAATTGTTTGTGAATCTCGCTGGTGGGTTTAATTTTCTAACCCACCGGCAGGGGAAGAGAAAATTTTAGATATAAACAATCCCAAGATCTAACCTAAGCTGTGATACCATGTCAGATAATATAAACTCCTTGATTAGAGTGATTTCCATTGATCAATATTTATAGGGTTACAATGAGTAACCTAATCATATTAGGTAGCTATAAGATATGTATAGATTTCAAAGATAATCTTATACAAAATATATCCTAAACCTAGGATGAGAATATTCTATGGATATTCTCTATCAATTTGTTATTTAATGAAAAAGATAGACTTATTATTGAATCTTGTAGTATTTGTCTCGATTTATACTTTTAATTTATCAACCTCTTATTATAAGCTATGCATCACGAAAATTAAATACATCAATGGTTAAATTTGTGTGTTGAAAAGCGTAAAATTCAACATGTTGGAATATTAATTAGGAGAATGGATAGACCGATAGAGTATAATTCTTATATACAAATCTAGGATAGGACTTCATACATCATGATGGAAAAAAAAATAATAACAATAATGGCATAATGCTTGTATAATGAGATATTCGTACCTAGGAAGTTGTCCTTTATAAAAAGGCCACTAAATGTCCAAGATTTACAAAAAATACATTTTCTTCCAAAACCAAAATCCTCTTACTAAATCAATATCTAAAAGATGTTGAGATTTAACTTTCTAGTGGAAAAATTTAAACATTTTTATAGTTTTCTATACCTAGGTTTTGTCTATCTAATTACATCCATATATTGGATATCCTCAAGAATCCATGATTTTATTATCTCTCATGTTACCCATTTTTTTATTGAGGTAAGTTACTTCATTATTGCATCAAGTTTTGGGTTCTTGGTTTTAAAAAGTCTTACCTCCAAAACAACCAACCCTAACGCGACAGAAGATCTAGATTTGGTCTTCACCTCAGTATCAGCCATAACGGTTTCTAGTATGTCTACAATGGAAATGGAGGTATTTACGAATTCACAACTAATTGTTATTACGATTTTAATGTTCATAGGAGGTGAAGTATTTACCTCCATGGTTGGTCTCCATTTTTCGGCCTCCAAACTCAAATATACACCCTCTCATGTAAGAAGTAGAGTCAATTCGGTGGCTAGCCTTCCACTCCCACCCGAAAGCTTTGAGTTAGGAGTCATTGTACAACCATCATTACCTCAAGAAACTTCAACCATGGAGAAAACAAAATCAGAAATAGATTTTCTCATAAAATCCAAGTCAGTTAGGGTTCTAGGTTTCATAGTTTTAGCTTATTTACTCTTAGTTCATGTCCTAGGAATTTCTATGGTACTTATTTACGTCAATGTTATTTCAAGTGCCAAAAATGTTCTTGAGAAAAAAGACCTTAAAAAATTTACCTTTTCAATTTTTACTATAGTCTCAACTTTTGCAAGTTGTGGATTCATTCCTACAAATGAAAACATGCAAGTTTTTAGCCAAAATTCCGGTCTTTTATTGATACTAATCCCTCAAATTCTCCTTGGAAACACTCTATTCCCATCTTTTCTTCGATTTTTGATTTGGGTTTTAAGCAAGATTGGTAAAAAAGACGAGGCCAAGTATTTGATGAGAAATTCAAAAGATATCGGATTCCATCACTTGCTTCCTAGCAAGCACTGTAAACTTTTAGTAGTAACAGTTTTGGGATTTATATGCGTGCAATTTATATTATTTTGTGCTATGGAATGGGGTTTTGATGGATTAAATGGCCTTAATATTTATCAAAAATTAGTGGGGATTTTATTCGTGTGTATAAATTCAAGGCATACAGGTGAAAGCATTGTTGATCTATCGAAAATTGCCCCAGCAATTCTGGTGTTGTTCGTCGTTATGATGTTAGTGTTCTTCCTCTCTATTATATACATAATTCTTTATTTTTATTGATTATTATTCTTAGTATACAATACCAAGTATATTATTGATAACATGTTGGTTGCTAAGCTATGATGCATGTGCATGTATATTATTGTTGTACGTTAAGGTACATGGCTTAGTGTGGGATTTAATTTAGTTCATTATTTAGGATCGAAAGTGAGTAATTTTATAGATATGGTATATATAATACTGTGATTAGGAAAATTTTAAGTTAGGAGTTTATCGTAAGCTAAGTTCGTTCTCTTTTAATTACCTTAGCTAATTAGCTTCTTACCATGCATTCGTTTAGTTGTATTATTTATTAAAAAAAATTATTATCTCTATTTCATTAATAGCAACAAACATTCTTTTTTTTACCCTCTCATTCCAACCATGTGAGTTTACACTGCGAGTATTTAAGTAACCATATCTTCAACATTCACAGTTTTTTTGGTCCATTATTTATTGGTCAAATCCTTGTTAGAGCATTGAGGGTAGGGAGAAACTAAGAGAATTCCCACCTAAAACGTTTTCATTTGGCAAGATTCGAACCCCAAATCTAAAGATTATAAGGTAAAAAACTTATTAAGCGAGTAGCACCTTAATTAAACCGGTAATAATATAGTTACTCATATTCAAGCCATGTACATCTCCCCAGTACATCCATAATTATTAATTGGACTTTAAAAAATCATTCCAAAATATGACATAAGGCTAGTTGTTTGTCCCTTGTCAAGGAATATAGAGATTAAGTAATGAATTGCTTTTAGTCAATATTAAAACCAGTAATAAGAGGTAGTTTAAATATTAATTAGTGGTCTTTATTTGAGGATGTTAGTTGAATATTGATTGTGCTGGACTCTTATTCATTTATATTATATTCTAAAACAAGACTATATACGTCGGTATATGTATTATTTTGTCATGCAATCCTAAATTTGTATCATACTTGTATGGAATTATAAAAGATACTCCGTATCAATACTATCAAATACTTATTTGTATTTTTAAGGGCTCACATTAGTCACATATATCATTATCGTATATATTATGATGAAATTAAAGACTTTATTTATCTATTTTATTTTATTTATAGAAATTTTTAACCGATGGAAGGAAGGTGCATTAGATTAATTAAGGGATAGATTATCCAATAATACATACGAAACAATCTCTGATGGGACATGATTTGGAAGACTAATTTAATAATCTTAAGAGGATGTAATAATGTTTAATATAAAACATTATTTAAGCAAAAAATTTGTCTCTATTGAATAATGATTGTCTTCGTCCTAGGTAGAGGTGGTTATTGGGTAGGGTAGCCCAATGATAATAGGGTTAAAGCCAAGCTTATAGGGCATTTAATGGACAGGGTTTTTAATGGACAGGGCCTTATTGGGCAGGGTCAATATAGGGCCAACATGTTTTAAACTTCAAACTCCTCCATCCTCAACCTTTCTTTCTCACTTTCTACTAGTTCGGATATTCCTATTCCTTGATTTAATTGTATACTAGAAATTAAAATATTTCCATCATTCCAATCAAGATATGAAGATAATAGCTCAACTGATTTAGAACCGATTATCATGCAACCGGTTGTATCTTATCAGTGTTTATCTTGGTGCGATACTAACTAGTTTTATTTCGAATGACTTTGTACACATTGTGAGGGATTTTAGTTAGTGATGGGAATATTTTATGCGCATTTTCACCCATAAATTAGAACAGATTAGTTTATGTGTTTTTATTAACATTTGCATGCATACGTACGTATTAAATACCATGCAGGTATCTTCCCCCTTATACTTCATTTCTGCCAAAGAAAGATGAGGAAGGAAAATTTGCCCAAATACTATGTAAAGAAGAAAAGAAGAATAGAAAGATTTTGAAGAATATTATATTCTCTCAACTCAGCTACCTTGCCTTATTCATCATCATCATTTGTATTACCGAGAGGCAAAAGATGATTGATGATCCACTCAATTTCAACGTTTTCAACATCACATTTGAAGTTATTAGGTACGTTTTATCAAAATTAAAGTATCATTTAGAATATATATAACACAAATTTAACATCTATAATATCACGGAATATAACAATTTTAGAAGGTAATGAAATTTTGCTCACTAAAAAAGTAAAACGACACATTGTCTCGACCCCTCAGAATTATTGTTTCATCCCATACTCTCCCCATTGAATCCCTAAATTAAAAGGTTATTTTGAAAAAGTTACAGATAATTTTATTTAGAAAAAGGACGTAACAAATATTTTTAAACAAAAATAATATATGTGACTATTAATTCTGAATAGTGAAGATAATAATTGGTGCATGCACCGTACTCACAATGTGACTTTAGTAAGATTTTACATGGTCATCATGCGCCCTCACAAAGCTTCATACTACATGCTACCATAGTAATCTTTGTAAAATCCAAGAAGATTATATTTTTAAGTTAGCACTAAAAAATTGATTAGCCTTTAAATCCAATATAACTTTCTAGAGATTATTTTGACCTAATTATACACTACTACGTTAGTTGACATCTATTCCTGATCATTCTGATTACTTCTAATCATGAGAAATAAAATTCTAGGTCAATAATGAAGTTTCTTTATTTCAATAATTGGCAGTGCGTATGGCAATGTTGGGTTCTCAACAGGGTACAGCTGTAGTAAGCAATTGAAAGCTGATCCAAATTGTGTAAACAAAACGTATGGATTTGCTGGGAGTTTTAGTGATCAAGGGAAATTGATTCTAATTATTGTCATGTTTTTTGGAAGACTCAAGAAATTTAGCTTGAAAGGAGGCAAAGCATGGAAGCTTCTCTAACCCTATCGAAAAATTCTTAATTCCTCCCGATATATTACTACTTACTCATAAAAGAGATATTCCGTAACACTTTAGAATCAATCTATGTGAGTATGGAGTACAATATCGGGTGGAGTTGCGAATTTTTTTTATAAGTCAAAAAAAAAAAAAAAAAAAAAAAAACCTTGGTGTATGATATAAGTTTGAACCTATTAATGTTCTCTATAAGATAAACTGAAGCCTTAGCGCGCAAAGGCACGTGCACAAAATAAAGTCCCGGAGAAGGCGAATGTTAAATTCTCGAAAAGTCCAAGTACCCTTTTATTCAGCCTAAAGCTGGTGTGTTATGATTTCCTAGTCTTAAGCATTGAGATACTGAAGGGAGAATGTGAGGGTTGTAAGAGTCTGTTGCATTTTGGCACTACCATGTTGTACTATACAAGCAATCAATTAAGTTGTACAGTTTTCACTTCTTTTTTTTAATGGGTCCTCAATTTGTGATTGATAAAGTGTTAACTCCTAGTCTCCTAACAAGAACACCACAAGAAAAATATGGAGTACTCGTACGAGTTATGATTTCCACGCTTCTCAAATTAATTTCAACATTCCTTGTTCTCTATAAAAAGAGTGCATTAATAATAACTACGCTTTCATAAAAGAAGACATCATCAAATTTTCAAGTAGAAAAATCAATTCTCATGATACATACATAGGTAAGCATGTTAGAAGAACATAAATCCGTCATTTATTCTATTCGATGTGTGAAACAACAAAATCATTTTCCTCACCAAACTAAGCTTGGTCTAGTGGCAAAGTTTGTATCTTACAATTAAGAGGTTGTGGGATCAAACCCCACTAGTGACACTTTGGGGGTGAGAATTCCCTTACCCTTCCGGCCTTCCCCCCCTACTCCCAACGTGTCTAGCCCGTTAACCCGGACGGGAGGACTTATAAGATGTTCAGGCCCGGTAGGGCCCTTCTCCTTAACGACCAAAAAAAAAATCATTTCCCTCTTCTCATCTATCTCCTTCCCTCCCCAAGTCCCCATATTATCTCCTTCATAAGTACTCCTTTTTTATCAAACTTTCTAGCAAGGATCCAAACAAAGGAAAACAATACAGTATTTCAAATTATTATTTATTTAAGCTGATTCATTTTGAGCTACAAACAGCCAAACACTCAATAAATCCCAAATTTTGTAGGGAACAATAGTCCCATTCTTTGATTTGTAGGTCCAACCTCATGAATAACCTAAATCATTGAAGTTATACAGCTTTATGGTGGTTCAATTCAACAGCACATGATAATAGTGAGCTGAGTAATGCAAACAACTAACAGAATAAAGAGTACAGAGCAAAAACAACTAATAAAGCCAAAAAATGAGATGAAGAAAACGACTAACCACCTCTCTTTAAGAAATCAAGATAATTGACATTTCCTTAGAGAAACTCTTAACAACAATAGAGTGCGTAGTAGATCAACTTACAAACACAGGAGCCCTGCGACTCTTCCCACGATTATAAACAACAGCACTACTAAACATAGTCAATCTACTGCCTGCTGCATGAACTTCTTAATTAACGGTACCCTGATTTCGCTGCTCATGTCATAAGTGCCTGTAATTTGCAATCACTGTCTACCCAATGCAAGGTCATGCCACGTATCTCCATCGGCTGCTGGAGTTTCTTCATCTGCAGTGATGCATTAAAAAAAAAAAAAAAAAGGTTATTATTTCCAAGTTCCAATGTGAGTGAGGAAATCAAGTTTCTTATGGAAAACATGATCAAGTAGTTATAACAGAAACTCGATTCTGGAATTTGAATTGTTGAACATAGTACTGTATACATTTAGAGCAGAAAAGAAAGATAACTAAAATCTCATTCCCTAATCTCATTCCCTCCCCAAAAAATAAAAAATGGAAGAGTAATATGCAACAAAGTTCACAACTAAGAATTCAAACAAAAAAATAAGCTTATGAACAAGACAAACGAAAATGTGATGGAGCCATATTTAAGGACAAACATCTAGTGGGTATATCAAATATTGTGCCAAAATGCATCCAATTGTAAGAGGGATCAACAAAACTAATCATCAAATTCCTGGCCATTGTTGAAACTTATATCTTGAAGTCAAGCTCTCTAGGAATATTGGTGCATGCTCAAAATCAACCACTGAGAGAGTAAATCTAATGTAACTGAATGAGCAAACTGTTTGTTCCTAGTTTTGGAAGTTGTTGAAAGAAAAGAATGAAACATAAAAACAGAATGTTCCCCTTATTTATACTCCGTATCTTAAAGTTAAGTTCATAATTTCATAAAGGTTTGGGAGTTAGCGCTACATTCTTCTCCAATCATCCAGTGACAATGTATTCCTCAAAAGTTAAGTATTTATGCTAGTTTGTTAGGAATATGTAACACAGTCCATCAAACCCGTTGATGGTGAGATTTGACCACTAAAGACTAAACTCTTAAGTTAAGAAGCACATAAAGCTCAGCCTAGGTCTCGTTCTTAAAGTTAAGTTCATGAAGATAAGTTGGCGTACGCTCTTCTCCAAGCATCCAGTGACAATGTATTCCTCAAAAGTGAAGTATTTATGTTTGGAAATTAAAATATGTAACAAAGTCCATCAAACCTGAATACCTGATGATGGTGAGATTTGACCACTAAAGACTAAACTCTTAAGTTAAGAAGCACATAAAGTTCAGCCTAGGTCTCGTTCGCAATCAAAGCTTGAAGAGTGCAGACGAGAGAAAGACCCAACTGGGCCAACTCCATAACAACATTCAGAAGCCTTTGCTGCCACCATAACATGGATATCAACATTCTGACTGCCATTCAGTTCAGATTGCAGTAATAATCCCTACTGCTTTACATCAATACGAAAAAATGTTACAGGCTAATTTGGTCAAAGTGAAATCTTTTTACTGAGTACTATATATCATGTACTTGCTGTTAATAAGAGTACAGAAATACAGAAGAAGATAGATTAGATTAAGATTATATTCTTCGAAGACACTTCCACAAGCACGTTATTTAAGAAATAATACCAATCATCATAACGTAGCAATTGGTCATGATATGATTTAAAGTACTCACTAGATCAATAAGATCATTTATACAAATTGCAATTCACACATGATATGACATGCGGACCAAGCACTAAACAGTTGTTCACTGTGACTAGAGGGAGAGGGATTTCCTATTTCCGAGACACTAATTTCATATCAATAGATGAGTATATCAGCTTCAGGGTGAATATAATTAATTCGATGACAAATGACAAGTAGAAGTAAAATTTGCCATATGTAACGTTTCCTTGCATAGCCTAAGCCTTTTTACTTACTATTACAATGACACAAATATTCTGTTCATTTCTTGCAAAAAAACTGAAAATTGTTGTTTAATTATAACTTCAAGGTTTGCATATTCTGGATACAAATTGAGGTTTTATCCAAGTTACCAGTAGGTGAAAGGAAAATCAGCAGCCTTCTCTTTATTTAAATAGCACGACCATATTCTTTATATCAAAGTACATGACTCAAGTTGTCTATTTATAGTGGTAATATCTGTCTTAACTCACTCCTCTGTCCTCTGTAACCTGTCGCCAAAGGTGGAAGGATGGTTTAGTGTGTATGGGAGACAAATCTGTCTCTGATTTAGCAGTCATTCAAGGATTTCTTTGGCAGGGCTTTACAAAGCTCAAGGTATGCAACTGTCAATAATTTTACAGCACATGCACTAGGTTTACCTCTGGTTGTTAGGGAAAGGCTAAATGCAAAACTCTTTATATAAATTAGATCTATACACTCAGAAACTAATCAATGTCATTAATCTTGATTTAAGGATCATGATTAGCTTTAACATGTTTTCTAAACTCACTCGTCAAGTTTGTAGAAACCTTAGAACTCCGCAGATCTGATCATGTCTTGTCAAACTTTCAATATCACAGCCTCACAGAACGTGGAGGGAAACCATTATTCTCCAAAGACTCCAAAATTAATCCTTGTCAACAAACTTTTTGAACACTGTTAATAGATTTCCATAATCCCTGAACACAACTCTCAACAAAGTAACTATATCTTCCTTGTACTTTCCTTCATGCATTCTACTTGTAAGTGTCAAGGCATATAACTGCTTTCTCCCGGTTTCGTGGTCGAATATCTTGTCCATTCTAAAGTAGCATTTGACTATCAACAAACCAGTTGATTGTAACTAGTTGAGCTTCCTAATCAACTTTCCTAAGGAGATACTAGTGAAGTAGTGATTATAATATATGAACTGCATTTAGATGTAAATCATGTAATGCTCCTAGAAAATGCCAACAGCTAAAAAAGTACTATATCCACTTTGTACCTAATTCTCCCCAAGCGCTCTCAAATCAAACACGGGCACACATCCACCGAGGAATCGTGTATCATCAGAACTCAAATACACATTCCTAATCCTCAATCCAAACAGTAATCTCCAATAAACCAAAAATTCAAATTGTTCTTACAAAAGGCAAAACTAAAAAGTTCAGAAATTAACCATCATAATGCATAATTGCATAAATCCAATGACACAAAAATTACATGAAAATCATGCTGGATACCTAATCAAAGAAAAACCCCAATAAAACCCTAAATTCATTTTCTGCAGAATTAAAATTTAGAAGTAATTGAAAATAAAAGTGCACAAAATTACCCAGAAAATTCTGCAGTATTACGATGTTCTTTAAAGTTTGAACCCCAAATGTATAAACAAAGTATAACCAAAGATGTAATTAAATCAAATTCATCATTAATCAATTAGATAAATTGCAGAAAGATGAAGAGAGAAGAGAGACTAACTGGGTTCATCAGCTTCTTCAGTGCGAGCAACAGCAATTGGTGGTAAATCAATATCTGAAACAAAATTGAACCCAGAAAAATTGAGCAAAGATTAGAAAGAAGAAGAAACAAATCAGTAAAGACAGTCGAAAGAGAAGCAGGGGTAGTTACCTTCATCAGGAAGAGTATCTCTCATCCAATCTTCATCAACAATATCAATGAGAATTCCTAAGCTCAATAATTCCGCCATTTTTGAGTTTGTTTTCTGCTTTCTTTTCTCCACTTGATCGAAATACGGAGTATTGTTAATTGTTATGTTTAATTGTTTAATTAACAACGGGAAATCTTTTGTATCACCTCCGGCTCCGGTCCACTTTACTCGCAACTATTTTCTTTTTGGGATGGTCCAATTTACTCGCAACTTTCCCATTTCTTTCCTTTTTTAGTAAAATTATTTATGTAAAATTACCATTGTACCCTTATTTGTTTAATAATTCAACTTAGTTATATTACTAACCTTATCTGATTAATAAAGTAGACTGATTAATTAAATTAATCATTCTCACCAAAATTATACCCTAACCCTTCAAATTCATCAACTCCCCAACTGCCTCAATTGAATGCTCCTCATTCAATTCATCTGATGAATTGGTTGGAGTTCATTTTTTCTGGAGAATTCTCCAGAATAAATCCCTCCCACCTAAACCCTAGTTCTTACTTTCTCTCTCTTCTCTCGCCGAATCGATTCGTCTCTCTCTCTCTTTCTCTGTATTTCTTGGTTGGTTTTCTCTCAATTCCTCTTTCAATGGCTTCCTCTAGTGACAAAAACCTAGATCTAACTTGCCATGAAACCCTTGAAACAAGTGCTTCCAGCCGCTGATCTGGTAGCGTTATCTACAAACCCCGTCGTGAAACAGGTGTCCTGAAACCCATTCGCCGCGCTTTTGTCATTGCGAGGAGGCGGATTCGTGGTGCAAAACTCGCTGACTATGACAGCAACGAGGAGCCGCTTAAGCTGGTGTTCTCTGAGGCCGTGGCCCGTGATGAACCACCGTCTGTGGTGGTTCCTACTGGTGAGGGTTCCGTGGTTGTTGCGGTGGTTTCTGCTGGGGGTTCTGGGTCTCCAGTGACTGAGGTGGAGGTTTCAACCACCGGATCTGCTACAGGGGAGTCGACCCCAGTAGATCTGGAGGTTTCTGAGGTGGCTCAGCCACCGGAGTCCCATGAGCGTGACGATGGCCCTTCCTCTGGCGCAAAAAGCATCAAATCTGGTCCTCCAGATGGCATGTCGAGGGAGGAAGTGATTGACGCTTATTTGCAGATCTACTACCCTCAGTTCAACCCCCCCTCGTAATTGAATGCGCAGCGTATACTCTATAAACCCTAATTTATTGTTTTCTGATTCTCTGTGTTTGTGCTTGTGATGTGCAATTAATCGTTTACAATATGATGTTGCGGGTTGTTGTTGATGATTGTGTGAGTTGTTAATTACGGATAATCACTGTGATTTGATTGACATGATTAGTTGATGCATGAATGTTGGAGTAATTGTGTAGTAATTGTGTTAGCAGCTCTGTTTTGGGATGATGGTGGTTGATAGATGGTTGTATGTGGTTGTTAAAAGACTGGTGTTTTGGGGCAAGTTTGTTGTTTGGACCCATTTGATTTATGTTATGGGATGTTGTTTGGTAGCACTAGATTTGATGCGTTTTGCAGTTGTTGGATTAGTTCATTAGTTAATGCATGAATTCACAGTTGTTTGGTTGTTTTTGGTTGTTGAGAATGAGTCCCCTGCTGTGACCCTTGTCTTGTGCCTTTCATGCATTGAGTCCCTTTTTTGATAATGCACACCCCTTTTGGTTTTCCATATGATGATGGACTCATCTGATAGCTACTTGGGTGGTTTGGATGCTCCATAAACCTTGTCAAAAAGGTTTGTGTTGAGGTACCAACACTCACTAAAGCTTTGACTGAAATCACAACCCTTCTTATGGAAATAATAGGCTCTAAAAATGAAACACAAATAGAGTGAAACATGTAACTTTTTGTTAATCAAAATATTTGTACTTGATTGATTACATGGCTGCCTAAAAAATAAACAAGTTGTATCCACCAAAAGTACACATAATCTAACACAAAAAGTTGTTTGAATAGGAGAAGGTTATATGTGGCACTCAATTATGAGTCCCTTAATAGTTGCCTTCCAAAACTAAGATATAGTCATCACTCTGCATCTACTTCCATGTGGCCTTCATCATCTCCTGTAATTGTGACTGTGTCCAAAAAATGAACAACTTGACCTATTAGCTCCCTGTCTACTGGAAGTAGTTGAGGTAGTAGTCCTTGGCTGTCCAAGCTTCTCTTCTTCATGTGTGGGGGAGAGAAGTTATTACCCCCTTGCTTTTCCAGAATCTTAATAAGGCAGGATTGAAGTGTGATCCATGTGTACTTGTTTAGTGTAGGATCAAATTCTTGAAATGCTCTTGCCACTTCCTTGATTAAGTCATCTAGATTCCTTGGAAAAGATTGATATTGTAATGATTGAATGACACTAAACAACCCTAAATCTAAAACATTTGTTTCTGGTGACTGAGCTGGTTGGAATATGAATTGAATGTTGAATCCATGTGCATGACAAGCTGCTTGAAATTCTTCATCCTTTGGTACCTGATGAGGCCTAGCATTATCCCATTGGATGATTATGTCCTTTGGTAACTGCTCTGGCCATTTTGCATGGATTGTTGGGATAACATGTGTTAGCAGCATCTCTTTTATGCATTCTTTTGTGACACTTTGAATTGCCTTTGTCTCTAGAGTCCCTGCATCTCTGTTCTTGTTTTCTTTTTGGCCCTTTCATACTTTACAAAAGGAAAAAGGCCATACTTTCCATCATGTATCATGTTGTTTTGAGCATCAAACAATGGTTTACCTATCATTCCCATAAACATTGCTTTGATTTTGAACTTCCTTGATTGTTGAGCCCTGTATGGATCATCTTCTGTTGGAAGTAGGTAGAAGGTTCTTGTTTCTGGATTGATGTAGAACCATTTCTCATCTAAATGTATCCATTGCTGCATATCAGTAAATGTTGGGTCCCCAATTGCTGGAACAGGATTAATTAGACTTAAAACCCATTTAAGTCTAGCCACTTTGTGCTTCTCTGTCAATGCTGGATGATTTGTGCTTGTGTGTGTTCTCAGCCTGCCTTGCTGCCTTAGCCTATGCAATGCTGTTTTAGGTATTTTCAGTGCTCCAGCATATCCCCTTTCAGTTGTTCTTTTGTACAATGGTACAGATGTCATAAACTCATCTGTGTATTGTTTTGCTTTGCATCCTACCCTGCCTAATTTTTTGGTATTAACATCAACAACAATACCTTCAGCTAGAGAATGTTTAATTACCTGAAACCATCTTGTTGTTGTAGATTTGTGCACTGAATGTTTTCTTGCCGAATTGGCTAAAATGCCTCTTGGCAGTGAGTCCCCCTCCATGTGCAACATAATCTCCTCAACAATTGCTCTTTTCTGTTCCACTGTCATCTCTCTTGTTGGTCTGCAATTGTGTTGTGACTCTTCTTGGTTTGCATCATCATCTGCATCATACCCATCAGCATCATTACCTTCATCATATTGTTGTTGTTCATGCTCTGAATCAGATGACCCTTCATACTCTTCTTGGTTGAATTGTTGTTCGATGAATTCATCTTCCATGAGCTGGTCTTGTTGAATTAACTCATCCATAAGTTCATGTATAAACTCTCCCATGAGTCCCTTCTCTTTTGAAAAAATTTTAGGAATGCTTTTTGGTGATGAAGTGGCGGCTGGTGGTTTTTGGACGGTAGTCAACGGAGCCTATTATTGAAGCTGCATCTACTAACGTTGCTCTAGGATTTAGGATTAAACTAATCTAAGTTTAGATGGCTTGTAATTTTTTAGGGCTGCCTGTATTTTGTACTTAATTAACTAATTTATGTGATGTTGGTACTTGAATTATTCATCCCCCTCCCCAATTCTCCTAAAACTTGGCTTTTGAAAATGGAGAATTGGAAGGGATGCCCTGCTTTTATATAGGGCCTTTTGTTTGAAATTAATGGTAAAATTTGAAACTTGGGGGAATTTTGCTGCCCATTTGAATTTTGGGGAAAATTTGGGAGGGAAAAAACCTTCCCAAAAAATTTCGCCCCTTAGTCCTTAAGCTGCCAGGAAAAAAAAGGTGGGAATTTCCCACTCTTTTCACTAAAGTACAACCCCTAAAAAAAGTCAATAAAAGGGGACCACAAGAATTCCCTCCAATTTTAACTCCTAATTACATACCCTTACTTTTTTTAAATCCCCCTTAAAAGTTTTGCCTCGGCCTCCGCAAACCCCCTCAAAGTTGCGGGTAAAGTGGACCTGAGGTAGTAGTACTTCGGGTCGGGTGCAGGTCGGGTTTTGATTTTTAATTACGGAGTATTAGGTTAAGTTGAATCAGGTTTGGATTTTTTTTCGCCTGTTTTAGTTTGGATATTGTTGTTGTCGGTTATCATGATTTTAATAAGTTTGATTTTTTTTTACTCCGTAAGAATTATATCATTTGACTTTCAAAATTATGATTTTAACGAGTCTTGTTTGTTATCGTTTTTTTTAAAATAAAAAATAGGATAAAAAAAATATTTTCACTTTTCGGTAGTCAATTTTTAAAATTATCATAATTTTGATAAATTTGACTATATTTATTCATTATATGACATCTATCATAAGATTTTAAAAATCATAAAACCAAAAAAAAAAAAAACTACAACAATGCGAAACGATCTCTAAGTCTTTTTATTATAGCGTCCGAAATTGCGAGGACTATGACTAGGGACTTTGTTTTTTTCATTGAATGCTTACTTGGATAAAATCAAATTCAAAGTATAAGTTAATGACTCTTTAATATTTAGAATAATATGTTTGGCTTTGAATGACATTGTTGTACCATAATTAGTGCTGTAAAATTTCAAACCAAAACCGTTTAACTGCCCGAAACCGACCGACCTAAATAAGAACCGAACCGATTAAAAACCGATTTTGTAAAACCGAAAACCGACCTAAACCGTATTTAAGTAAACCCGAAACCGAACCGATCCGAATAATGTCAAACCGTATAAGAACCGAACCCGTTAACAAACCGAACCAGTTCTAAACCGAACTGTAATCAAACCAAATCGAAAAAGAACCGAACCGTTTCTAACCCAAAACTGTTTCCAACCCGAAACCGTTTGAACCGAGGTAAAAACCGTTTACACCGAACCGTTAACAAACTGCAACCCGTTTGCACCGAACCGTTTATAAACCGAACCACTTACAAACCGAACCGTCTATAAATCAAACTGTAATTTCGACGTCACAATAACTCATCAAATCATGATTATGACACATCAATTAGTTGTTTGGATAAGAAGCAGCTAATAATGTGATAGTAAAACAATAATAATTCATTAATACACTAAACTTTTATAATCTACGTTACTTCGTAATAAACTAGTAAGATCAGTATGACTAAACTTGAAATAACATGATATGTATTTTTGAAATCGATGAGAATTTGTATATAATATAATGCTTAATGCCTAAATATGAAGTGATGAAGTCTCGGCTTCATATCAAACTTGTTAACCAGCAAAAGGTTAGCAAGTACTATGAAACTTCAAACCAAAATCGTTTAACTGCCCGAATCCAAACGACCCGATTAAAAACCGACTTTTTGAAATAAAAAACCGTTCCGAACCATAATTTAGTAAACGTGAAATGGAACTGATCCGAATAACGTTAAATTGTATAAAAGGCAAACCCGTTAACGAACCGAACCAAAATAAAACTGAACCGAAAAAGAACCGAACCGTTTCTAACTCGAAACCGTTTCCAACCCGAAACTGTTTGAACCAGTATAAAAACCGTTTACACCGAACCATTAACAAACTGCAACCCGGCTGCACCAAACCGTTTACTTTCCGAACCATTTACAACGAATTAATACCGCTCAAGAATAAACCGAAACTGAATCGAACCGATAACTATTTAAACCGAACCGAAACCGACCCGCGAGACGCTTAAACCGATTTCAAACCGACCCGATTTAATACCGAACCGAACCTAAACTGTCAAACCGTTTTGACAATGCTAACCATAATGCAAGAAGCAAACAAGTCGTGTCTATGTCAATGCGAGGTTATGCGCCTTCGTGTTAGAATCCAGCCTCTTTGTTATGTATTCTTCTTTATTTTCCTTATATTTTCCTTATGTAATGTCTCTTTAGTCTTTCTTTTTATTTTTCTAGACCCTAGGGAGAATTATTGTGTTACTGTCATTTCAACGTTCACTTGTAATTCTCTACTAATGCAATATAAAGCTCTTTAGGGAGCGAATGGTTATTCAATCAAAGCTCTCTACCCCGTTGTTATTGCTTTAAGACTTGTGTGTTGTTTAAGCCTTTATAGATATTGTGCTTGCCTTGTTTTAAAGCATCCCCCACCAAACCAAGAGACCCTAGAGACGTCCTCATTTTCGTCGGTTCCGCTTGTGCCCGCTTCAAAGTATCGGCCGTCACAAGCCCCGACTCCGCACTCGTTGTTCTCGTGTGCCCTCTTGAGACACCGTAGGTCCGTGTTGCTGTGTGCTCACGAACCTCCTTGCTTTAGGCTTGCGCCCTTGTCGCCAAAAGACGAGAGCGCGCCGCACGATCTGGTGTTGAATCACTCGGACCGTGACAGTTTGGTATCAGAGCCAGGTTTGCCGTAGAGATGGCAGAAGAAGGAGAGATGCATGAATACACATTCGAGGAAAGACTTGCTTGGCTTGAAGGCAAGTCCGAACAGTGGGCTATGCTTGAAGAAAGGCTGCCCAAACTCGAAGATACTGTAATAAAACAAGCCGACCAAATAGAGAGGCTTGCCGCTACTGTGGATGGGTTAACGGAGCAACTTAACTTCGTGCAAGGCGTCGCTGATGAAGCACAAGATAAATGTGCAACCTTAATGCATGCCCAGAGAGGGCTCGGGGGAAGTGGAGGTGCCAAGATAAAACCTCCCAAGCCTCGGACCTTCAATGGCACGAGAGATTCAAAAGAAGTCGATAACTTCATTTTCGACATGGAGCAATACTTTCGGGTCTGACAGTTGGAGAATGAGTTAAAAGTTGATACCGCCACTATGTATTTGGTGGATGATGCAAAGCTTTGGTGGCGCACCAAGTACACCGACATCCAAGCTAAGAGGACGTCGATGGATACTTGGGAGGATCTGAAGAAAGAGCTGATGGCCCAATTTTATCCCGAGAATACCGAGTTTGTTGCTCGCACCAAGCTCGCTGCTTTGCAGCATAAGGATTCCATCCGGGAGTATGTCAAAGAGTTTTCAGCGTGCATGTTGGAGATCCACAACATGTCCGAGGAAGATCGCCTATTCAACTTTGTGAGTGGTCTTAAGGAATGGGCCCAAAGAGAAATTTGGCGCCAAAAGATTGATACTTTATCGGGAGCCATCGCTGCAGCCGAAAGGTTGATGGACTACTCTTCAGAGAAAGGACAAGGTTTGAAGAAAGGGAATAGCGGGCCGACACCGAACCCTCCTAGGAACTCCGGACATGGCTCGCAAGTGAGCTCCAACAACTCGAACAATAGATACAATAGGAGTGGGGGAGAAGACTCTCGGAAGAGTGGAGCTTCTTCCTTCTCTAGTAGAGGAAGCACCCCTAGTTCATCTTCGGCAGCCAGGCCATTGACGTGTATCCTTTGCAGAGGACCGCACAAGTGGTTTGAATGTCGACACAAGGGAGAAATTGACAATCTCCAAAAGAAACTGTCCTCCATGTCCTTAGAAAACCCCGAGGGTGAAGAAGCCGATGAGGTAGAACCTAGTGAAGGAGAACATTCCAGGCTGGGGGCCATTCGCATGATGTGCGCTATGGGAAAAGAAGGCTCTGAGGGCCAACCCAAAAACTCTGGATTGATGTATGTGAATGCGTTGGTAAACGAAAAGGAAACTCGTGCCATGGTGGATATCGGTGCTACCCACAACTTCATTTCAGAAAAGGAGGCAAAAAGACTTGGGTTGAAGCTCCTACCAGAAGGAGGCAGTATGAAAGCGGTGAATTCAGTTGCCAAACCGATCCACGGCGTTGCCAAGAAAGTAACAATGAAGCTGGGAGATTGGAGCGGACAGGTGGACTTTACTGTTGCGCCAATGGACGACTTCAGCTTGGTGCTCGGCATGGACTTCTTACACTTTAGTAAGGCAGTCCCGATGCCGCATCTTAGATCTATTCTGGTGCCCGGGCAGCAACCATGTCTCCTCCGAACTTGCGAATCGGGAAAAGGGCCGAAAGGGCCCCTCCTTTCAGCAATGCAATTGGAGAAGGGGTTGAAGAGGAACGAGCCCACGTTCCTAGCAACACTTTCCACGAAGGAAGATGAAGCAAGTGGAGACTTTCCGCCTGCAGTTGCCGAGCTACTATTAGAGTTCCAGGATCTCCTCCTGAAAGACCTACCAAAAGTTCTCCCACCTAGAAGGACAGTGAACCATGAGATTGAGCTGGTTCCAGGGGCGAAACCCCCAGCACGAAGCCCTTATCGCATGGCTCCCCCAGAACTGGCTGAACTCCGGAAAAAATTGGAGGACTTGCTTGAGGCAGGCTTCATCCGCCCATCAAAGGCTCCTTATGGGGCTCCTGTGCTTTTTCAGAAAAAACAAGATGGAAGTCTTCGATTGTGTATCGACTACCGAGCATTAAATAAGGTTACGGTGCGCAATCACTACCCTATCCCTTTGGTGGCGGATTTGTTCGATCAGTTAGGGGATGCAGTGTACTTTACAAAGCTAGACTTGAAGTCTGGCTATCACCAAGTTCGTATCGCCGAAGGAGATGAACCAAAAACTGCTTGTGTGACGAGATACGGGGCATACGAATGGCTAGTCATGCCCTTCGGCTTGACGAATGCACCTGCTACGTTCTGTACTCTGATGAACCAAGTATTTCGAGAGTACTTAGACAAGTTTGTGGTCGTGTACCTCGATGACATCGTTGTCTACAACAAGACTTTGGAGGAGCACCTCGAGCACCTAAGATTGGTCTTCGAGAAGCTGAGAGAACATCACCTTTTTGTGAAACGAGAAAAGTGTGCCTTTGCGCAGGAAGAAGTCGGATTTCTTGGACACTTTGTGGGGAAGGGTTGATTGAGGATGGACCCAAAGAAGATATGTGTTGTTCGCGATTGGCGGGATCCCATGAACCCCTCTGAGCTGCGATCCTTTCTAGGACTGGAGAACTATTATAGAAGATTCATTAAGGGATACTCAGAGATCGCAAGTCCCCTCACCGACCTATTGAGGAAAGATTGTCGTTGGGAATGGTCAGGGCCCCAGAAGGAAGCTTTCCAGAAGTTGAAAGAAGCAATGGTGAAGGAGCCGGTCCTTGCCCTTCCAGACATCACCAAACCATTCGTGGTCGAGACGGATGCTTCGGATTTTGCTTTAGGAGGAGTGCTCCTCCAAGAAGGACATCCTATTGCATTCAAAAGTAGGAAGCTGAATAATGCGGAGAGAAGGTATGCGGCACAAGAAAAGGAGCTACTAGCCATTGTGCACTGCCTAAGAGGATGGAGGCACTACTTGTTGGGGTCAAAGTTTACCGTCCGCACAGACAACACCGCGGCGAGTCACTTTCTCACCCAACCCAAGCTGACAGGAAAACAAGCTCGGTGGCAGGAGGACTTAGCTGAGTTCGACGTGGAGTTCACCTATAGAACGGGATCCAGCAATAGAGTTGCCGATGCCCTGAGTAGGCGGGCCGATCTTGCTGCGATGTACAAGTTAGCGCCAATGACTGCAAGCAGCATTGCCACATCCGTTAGAGATCAAGTTCGTGCTTATCTCTCAGATGATCCGATGACAAAAACCATAACAAGGATGATTGAAGAAGGGAAGACTAGACGCTTTTGGTTGGAAGATGGCCTCATCTTCACCAAAGGTACAAAGCTGTTCATCCCCAAAGCAGGGGGATTGAGGAAAATGTTGTTGAAGGAATGCCATGATACGCTGTGGGCGGGACATCCTGGTTGGCAGAGAACCCTCAGTCTACTCGTGATGGGGTACTACTGGCCAGGAATGAAGGAAGATGTGATGAGCTACACCAAAACCTGCCTTGTGTGCCAGCAAGACAAGGTTGACAGACAGAAGCCCGGGGGCCTCCTTAAACCTCTTCCTGTACCAACTCGACCGTGGGAGAGTGTGTCGATGGACTTCATTAGTGGCCTCCCGAAGGTTGGCCAGTTCTCTTCTATCATGGTGGTGATAGACAGGTTCTCAAAATACGCAACGTTTGTACCCTTGCAGAAGGCTTGCGGAGCAGAAGAAACGACATCTCTCTTCTTTAAGCATATTGTGAAGTACTGGGGATTGCCAAAGAGCATAGTAAGCGACGGGGATACCAGATTCACGAGCATATTCTGGTCTGAGCTATTCCAAATGATGGGGTCTGACCTCAACATGTCGTCAAGCCACCACCCTCAATCTGATGGGCAGACAGAGAGATTCAATGGGCTTCTCGAGGAATACTTACGTCACTTTGTGAGCGCCAACCAGAAAGATTGGGTGAGACTCTTGGACGTCGCACAACTTTGCTTCAACGCTCAAAGGAGTTCTTCTTCCAACAAAAGCCCCTTTGAGTTGGTCATGGGTCAACAACCTCTCCTCCCGCACACAGTGGCTGATTGGGAGGGTGGTAGGAGTGCTCAGGCTCGAGATTTTACAAGAGAGTGGAGGCAAAACACCGACATTGCAAAAGCCTACCTAGAGCGAGCATCGCGCCGGATGAAGAAATGGGCTGATCAAAACAGAAGGCCAGTTGATTTTGCTATTGGGGACATGGTGATGGTGAAGGTCTTACCAGAACAGCTGAAGTTTCTCAGAGGGAGAGATCGTCGCCTCATTCGGAAATATGAAGGCCCCATCCGCATCACTAAACGGATTGGGAAGAACGCATACAAGGTAGAACCGCCTGCGTGGATGAGGATTCACCCCGTCTTCCACGTTAGTCGTCTAAAACCCTACCATCCAGATCCCGACGACAGCAACCGCAACGTCAGCTACCGCGCCAACATTAGAACCAGGACAAGAGCCACCCCTACAACAGAAGACTGAAGCTGCTAAGATCTTAGTGTAGATTTTGTAAGTCGACGAGGACGTCGACGACTTAAGTGGGGGAGGATGTTAGAATCCAACCTCTTTGTTATGTATTCTTCTTTATTTTCCTTATGTAATGTCTCTTTAGTATTTCTTTTTATTTTTCTAGACCCTAGGGAGAATTATTGTGTTACTGTCATTTCAACGTTCACTTGTAATTCTCTACTAATGCAATATAAAGCTCTTTAGGGAGCGAATGGTTATTCAATCAAAGCTCTCTACCCCGTTGTTATTGCTTTAAGACTTGTGTGTTGTTTAAGCCTTTATAGATATTGTGCTTGCCTTGTTTTAAAGCATCCCCCACCAAACCAAGAGACCCTAGAGACGTCCTCATTTTCGTCGGTTCCGCTTGTGCCCGCTTCGAAGTATCGGCCGTCACAAGCCCCGACTCCGCACTCGTTGTTCTCGTGTGCCCTCTTGAGACACCGTAGGTCCGTGTTGCTGTGTGCTCACGAACCTCCTTGCTTTAGGCTTGCGCCCTTGTCGCCAAAAGACGAGAGCGCGCCGCACGATCTGGTGTTGAATCACTCGGACCGTGACACTTCGACGCAAAATCAAGTACAACACACTTTCAATTTTAATTAGGTGGCGTATAGGAATGATATAAGGAAAAGTGATTTTGCAATAGCCTTTGTAACTAGGGGTAAACATGGTTTGGTTTAGTGCGGTTTGAGTCCAAACCAAACCAAACCGCAAAATACGGTTTGGTAAATTTTTCAAACCAAACCAAACCAAACCATAATAGTATTGAAACCAAACCAAACCAAACCGTAATACGGTTTGGTTTGCGGTTTATGATGAGATGATATTTTTTTTTCCAAAAATTGTCAAATAATACTTCACTAATTTATAATAATGTTTAAATAAGTAGCCCTAACGGATTAAATTGTACTACAAAGTTACAATAAAAATATCAAGTGCTAACATATAATAAAAATAATACATAACAATAAAAGATATTCATATGAGTACTACATTATAGATTTATAGTCATTAATTATAGAGTATTGACGGTATAGTTTTTATCTATTTTTCATTTTTTTTATTTATTCTTTATTTTTTATATAATATTAAAAAAAAAATTATTGAAAAATTATATAAATATTAAAATACGGTTTATTGGTTTACGGTTTGGTTTGGTTTATAATTTTTGCAAAACCAAACCAAACCATAAACCATATTTACAAAAAAATCGAGACCAACCCGTAATTTTATAAACCGTAAACCAAACCAAATCGCTAAAATACGGTTTGATCTGGTTTGGTTACGGTCCAGACCAAACTGTGTACAACCCTATTTGTAACTAATGCTTTGAAAATTGTGCTCTTATTATAAAGAAACAAAATAGATACGAGTATAATGAAGGCTTAAATTAGTTTACGTACTTATTTACTTATCAAATCTAGTGGTAAGTGATTAAAAAAATAAGTAATTTGATTTATTAATTCAATCATCCATTCTTATATCAAAATAGAAAGAGGGTAATAACACACACAAGTTAGGGCATGTTCTCTTACGTTGAAATTCAATTCAGTTCAGTTCAGCTCCTAATTTCCTTCTCTTATAAAATATTCAGTTCAGTTCAGCTGAGTTCAGTCAATGAGAATAGACCCTTAACATTTTTTTTTTACACAATATAATCATCTAAATTGTTTAAGATAATGAAGTTTTTTTTTCCCTCCAATTCGTACTATATTAACAACACATATAAAAATTAGATTTCTCACATTAATTATAACTTCAACAAGAGTGCCTATCAAAGAAAAACAACTTCAATCACAGTGATTGCTAAAATTTATATTCACATTCATATCGTAATCAATAGTAAGATTATTAACACTTCTCATTGTAACATGTTCATTACAAGTTTACAACACTACACTCTCACGAAGTCACAAGTGTAAAATGTAAAACTTTACGAGTAATCATCTCATAAACTTTACGTTTAGTTTTATTTTAAACCAGTAGTCAAATTTATCCTCTTAAAAATTAGTACAATTGATCAAAATATTTTCTATCCAATATTTCCTTTCAATTACAGTAAAAACTTCTCCATAATAAATTTCCCTCTTGAAAATTTAACCCTCTCCTCTCCAATAGACAGGGTAAAAAAGTTTTTTTTAAAAAATACTCTTAATTTTTTTTTTTTTTACCCTAAACCAATTAATAAGATAATTTAATACGTGGGACCCAAACTAAAATCTATTACCTCAAAATTTTGAGAAAAATAAATAAATAAATAAATTTATCGAAGGTCCTAAAATTTATGAACAAGCTAAGCTCCCGACCGTACAGCTGGCCTAGATTGAGAAATCCAAGCCATCCACCTGGCAATCGCCCCATTATGTCTCTCTCTTTCTCTCTCCTCATTACCACCACCACCATTTCCTGTATTTCTGCTCGAAAACCTGCTTAACCCCGTGATTTCCGACACACTTCTCTCATTAATTACACTTCTGCCATTATTAATTATCCCCTGCATCCTCACCCCATCATACTTACCATACACCCGCTTTGATGTTGATGATCGACGGCCCTCATTCATCAACATCTCTGACCGTAGATAGAACAGATCGTACGGCTGTACATCACTCCATCTCTCGTAATGGGCCGCACTTGGATTTATTATTATTTTATGTTCTACTCGCCTGTCTTTATCAACGGTTAGTAACATCCCGTCTTTCCTCCGATCAACGGCTGTGATTGACCCGTCTAATGACCTCCTTGACGACGTCGTTTTAGGTCCATTACTAACTCGCCCTTTTTCTCCAGCAGACGAGTGACGACCCGAAACCCGCCGAGTTGACTCGGGTAACCCGGCTTCAATCGGTTCATGCTCAACCGGGTTAACTCGGTCCACTAAGAGCACATCTTCCGGGTCGACCCGAAACCGGCAAAGAGGACACGTGGAATGAGAGTCGAGCCACGTGTCAACACACTCCACGTGAAACGCATGCTTACATTTGGGTAATAACCGAAGAATCTCTTCCGGTTCAAACCGGTTTAAACAAACCGCGCATTCTAACCCATCTTTTTCTCCTTGCAATGAACCGAACCGGAAAACCGGTAAACTCTCGATGATTACCGGGTCAATACCGGAATTCTTCCTTCCGGTCGCCGGAAAACCGCGATTGTTGTTGTAATAATACCCGGGTTCCGACGACGAGTCGACTCTCTGTTTGCAGTGTTTGGCGTACATGAGGAGGAGGAAGGTGATGGAGAATAACGTGGTTAGTACGCCTACGATGACGGCGATACTGGGTTTAAAGTTTTAAACGAGGAGAATGTCGCCGAAGATGGTGGTAGAGGTGGGTTTTCCGGCGAGGGTGAGATTTGACGGGAATTCACCAGAGATAAAAGGGATAATAGTATGAAAGTGAGAAGATGGGTTTTCATGGTGGTTATGGAGGTGTGAACGCCATTGAAGGAGAGGAGAGAGAAAGTAGAGGAAAGTGAGGAGAGAGAAAGTGGGTAGTTATGGGGGTGAAGTGAGGTGAAGTGAAGTGAAGTGAAGGGATTGTTGATATATAAAAAGGGGAAAGTCGTTAATGGAAAATAGGAGTAGCAGAAGAAGAGAAGGTTGTTAGAGTGGCATTCATTGTCTGGGGAATGTTCTATTTTCTAATTTATATACACTTTTTTTTTTTTATTTATTTGTTTTAAATGGGAATGAAAAGGAGGGAAAATTTAATAATAGAGGTGAAATTAATTAAATAAAGAAGGGGTTTGGTTTTGTTTGCATGGGATGTCATGTGTGGAGTTTTTTTTTTTTTTTTTTTAAGTAGAGTGTATGGGTGATATGTCTTTTTGTGAATCTTGTTATAATGTTTGCCAACTCTATTGATTGCATTAGAGTTGGCGATTTCGGAGTACAACGTGTGTGTTAAGAAAAAATTGATATCGGTGAGCATTTATTCGGTTTGTTTTGAAATGTAATAGAGTGTGTGATTTTAAATCAAGGTTTAGTATTTAAGTTGAGATGATTACGAGTTCAAAGGTAAGTCGGATGAGTACGTAGTTAATTTAGGTCATGTTTTTTTGAGCTTCTGAGCTGAATAGAACAACTCAAAAGAATAGGGTCTTAGTTTAACTAAGGTCCAATATTAACGTGGTTGATATAGAACTATAAGCATAAATCTAGTTTGGATACTTGTACAATGTCTAGAACCGAACAGAATCTAAGCAACCCATACGTATTGTCTACCTCTTAACAATTAGGTAATATTAATGGAAATAAAAAAGGATTAGTGAAGACAAGGGGATCTTCATCTTTGGTGAAACAAAAAATGGTGGAAAAGGAAAAGAGAGTACAATCAAGTAACAAGGAAAGGACAAGGGGATGAGAACAATTAGTTTTGGAAACAAGTGAATACAAGGCCAGCAAGACATGTTTTGGTTATTGAGTAATGTAAGTAATAAAAAAAAATTAGGGGAAAAAATTGGACAATGTTTGGAGTTAAGGTAAAAACAAACATAAAGTGCAAGAGAAGGAAATTACGGAACACAAGGACTAGAAAATTGAGACAAAGGGAAGGAAATCTAATGGGTAGTTCATAGTTGGAGTAAGGTAATTTTATTTATTTATTTATTTTTTTATTTTTTTTTATCAATTACCACCCCTTGAGTGATGTTAAGCTATGTCATACACTCATACATTGAATTGTACACCAATCGTTTCAAAAATGTTATGCACTCATACATTGAATTGTACACCCGTCGTTTCAAAAATGTTCACACTCATTTACTAAATAGTTTTGTTTTTAAAAAGTTTGAAAAAGTGAGTGAAAGTATATAAAAAAATAAAATGTTAAATTAGTTTGAGAGATAGCGTAAATATACAAAATGAATAATGTAAGAGAACGAGTGAAAAAAATGTGAAGGTTAGGTGCTGTTTTGTTTGATGTAAAACTTTTTCAATAGAAAATTAGTTTTTCTTTTCCCGGTAAAAAAAAATCCATTGTTTGGTTGCATACAAGAAAAGTTTTAGAAAAATAAAAAAAAATAGGAGTGAAAATGTGAGAATTGACGAGAAGTACGGAGTAAAAAGGAGGTGAGAAGGAGGGAGTAAAATGTAGCTTTCCATTATTTTTGTACTTTTGTAAAGGAAATTTTTTTGGGGTTTTTCTATATAGTAATCCTGTTTTTTTTTTCACTTTTCTAAGTTGTGCCCCAACATATATCACTTTCTACACTGTAACCCCAATATATTTTTTGTTTCCATACGCTAACCTTGCTGTTATCCTGCCGTTAAAAAATTCCGTTAGTGGGGCCACTCTCCATTATTAATAATTCCATCTGTAATTTACGTTGTTAAATTTAAAATTAACTACAAATAAGTCAAACTTATTACAACATTGAACAATACACCGTGTAAGATCCTACATGAATATGTTTTATTGTATCTATAGACCACAAAAGTGATTCAAAGAGTGTTGAGTAATAATGTAAAAATCAAACGGTGTCAACTAAAAATAAAGAATAAAATTCAACAAAAATAAGTCAAATTTTTTACAAAATATACCCCGTGTAAGTAAAAAGTGATTCGAACTTTTATATTCAGACAAGAGGGCGAGATATAATGAATAGTAGAAAGAGTGCAACATGATCTCCGTGAATTAGATCAAGATGTACTACGAGTAACGAGTCTACGACGTTGCACTTAAGCCGCCAGTTTGTGACATAGAAACGTCATTATCAAAATAGTGATAGTCTGTAAGAAATTTAAACATGCATTTGTCTGTTGGTGATGATCGAAAACTCACCATTGTATGAGCAACAAGGATGTGGTTGTCATTTTGTTATGTGTTCGATAAATATTGATTCAAACGACATCAAAACCTATTCATTGGCCCTTTTCTTCATCTTCTTCTTGTGTTTCAAGGATCACTTAATTGGACTAATATAATGTTGTATGTACGTTCTTTTACTTATCTCCTACACGGATTATTAAACAATCAATTCGGTATAGTAAGTAGAGTTAGATAATAATAATAATAATAATAATAATAATAATAATAATAATAATAATAATAATAAAGTTTAGTGGAACTCGAGGCCTCGAGCAACACTTGGTATGGTAAGTAGGGTTGATAAATAGAAAATTTAGTGAAAGAACTCGAGCAGCAATGTTCGGTATGGTAAGTAGGGATGATGACAAGTTTAGTGAAAGAACTCAAGCTAAGGGCCTAAGGTTAGCATTTTAATTAGCACCGGCTACGGATAACTTGAGCCAAACCCAAGCTTGTCGAGTTTATTATTGTATATTAGTATCAGATAAGACATGTACATCGTTAATTAAATATAATGAAATTTTAAGATTACATAACTTAAACCCTAATTTTTTGAATTAAGAAAACCCTCAAATTGATTTCACTTACCCTAATTACACTCGTTCAACCCCTTGATTTTGAAATTTCAATTCGTTTAAGGTTTAATTGCATAATTTAATACCCTAATTTGCAAAAAAGCGATAAATGAGGGAAGAATAATGGAAATCGAGAGAAAATAGAGTGAAAATGAAAGGAAGACCGTTTATGGAATCCATGATAATGTCACTAAAAAAAAAGAGGCGATAGTTTTAGCATTTGGAAAAAACTAGGTGGTTAAAAAAAAAAAAAAACTTGAGGGGTATCATAAAAATTGGCTACTTTAGATGGTGGTATTTTTCACGTTTTAATGACTAAGAGTCTGTTCTCATTGACCGAAATGAGCTGAACTGAACTTATTAGAGCTGAACTGAACTGAACTTAACTTATTAGAGCTGAACTGAACTGAACTGAAATGGATATTTTATAAGAGAAGAAAATTATGAGCTGAACTGAACTGAACTGAACTGAACTGAACTTAACTTATTAGAGTTGAACTAAACTTATTAGAGCTGAACTGAACTGAATTGAAAATAATCATATGAGAACAGGCCCAAAAGATTGAAGAATGATAGTAAAAAAGTTGATATTATAAAATGAGGGAGCCTCAGTTAATCTCCGAAATTAACATTCCAAGTTAATCTCCTCTCACAACTTTATGCATTTGTTTTAGTGTCACTTTACTATTTCACTTTTATTATTTAAAAAATAAAAGTAACATAATATATTGCTAGAGGAGATTAAATTTTCATATCAATCTCAGAGATTATCTTTACTTGAATTCTCCTTTATAAAATTATACTAATAATTTTAATAAAATCTCATATGGCTATTGTAAACTTAATACATCGTATTTGATATATTTGATCGTAAGTACTGGTATGCGAGTCAATTTAAAGATTGTAAATGAGCGGGTAGAGTAATAAAACCAACCATTATCCCTTTCTTTTTTGCAAAAATTGCAACAACAAAAACAATAGATAACCGAAGATTGAAGAATGCTTAGTACCCCACTCTTAACCTTTCCCAGTTGCAAAACGACCCATTTTCAGCAAATAAATTTTACAAATTGTAGAATTTTCAGTTTTTATTCCACCAACAAAGTCAAATTCAATCCCAAACCCAGGTTAGATATAATATTTTTATGCAGTTCATTGTTTAATTTTATTTTCTTTCCCTTTTTCTTGTCAATGATTATATTTTATACACCATGAATATATAATTGTATCAATCCAACACATTTCCGATTACCCACTAATTAATGTTTGATGATTATAATAGAACTATCAAGTTTATCATAAAAAGCAATTATTTTTTGAACTATCAATTTTATCATAAAGCAATTATTTTTAGAAGTATTATTAGTCTATTTCTAAGAAATTTTAGTGTAAATGGTGGGTCATAAAATTCAGGATTTAAGGGATTTTGTCCTGTAAGTTGATTTGTGACAACAGCTTTTGGAATTTTAAGTTTTAATTACTAAAAAGAAGAGGCTGATATTGAGATTAATTCTGCCCTAAAAGTTGTATGAAGAAAGTGTGCAATCAGCTGTTTAATGGGCAGTAAAGAACCTCCATTATAGGGTATGGAATTGATTACTATATTGTATTGATTTCGTCAAAAGGACAGCTTAGGGTATGGAATGAGCATCTTGTACATGTAGGTTTTTTAGGTATAGGTGGTAGAAAACTAGAAATGATGATTGATCATTTGAACCTAAGTTAGAAGTTATTGTGATAAAAGTCATTGAACACATGTGAAATCTGGAATGTGATTTTGTTTGATTGATCAAGGTTAGTGCTTTTCACTAATTCGAATGCGAGGAGCTTTGTGCAAGTGGGGATTTCAAAGTTTAACAAGTTGTGAGACTTTATAAAGATTTGCCTAATGTAAATATAGAGTTGTGCTTTAATGAAATGTTAATATGGGATTGGACTCTTGATATTGTATGCATTGGTTGCTGTTGAAAAATCAAAGTTTAACAAGTTAATTAGAACTTATAATGATTTGCCAAATGTAATTCTGAACTGAATTTTGCTTTATTGAAATGTAAAATGCTACTGGATTCATGATGTTGTGTTAGTTGTTGATGGAGCACATGGTATGTTATCGATTTGAAAATTTATTATTATCATCAGGGTGTTTTTGAAGTGGACATTTTCTTGCATCCATGACAATATGCCGAGATTGGCTTCCTGGATTGTCACCATATACTTACTTTCCCTTAGCCCAGAAGTTAATGCCCAAGACCATTCACCATATCTGGTTAGGTACGCTTGTGAAGATGTTAAAACTTATTACTCTAGCATCGGCCATCTGAAAGGTAAAGCCTTAAGCAGAAAACTGAACTCCATCATAGCAGGGCATCACTCATTGTCATATAAAGAGGTGGTTATGTGTCTGTGCTATTTGTTTATGTATGAATATCTGCGGAACTGAAGATTGTCAGCCTTAAATTAGGTATGGGATGCTCTTAAGATTCTTGATGCAGCTGATATTGATAAGCCAGAAGCATCATCTGGGATGTAAGTTCCCTTATTAGTATTTTTCTGAATGTTATATAGTTGAAATATACAATTTTCAATGAAGTTATTGTTGACTTTTCCTATACAGAGTTGAAATCTACTCGTCCAGAGTTGCGCCAAAGCGTTTAGCTGGAAAACCTGAAGGCTGGAACAGTGAGTGATTCCCCTGGCTCTTTTGGTGCAGCTTTTGCTTCTTTGTAACCCATCGTGCTTGATACAATGTCAAATGTTAAAATACATCATCTTTTGGTGCAGCTCTGTGCACTTGAAGTTTAGTTATTGAATTTGTAACATTTTCTAGTTTCTACCACAGATTTTAGATGCACATGTTTCTGTAGAAATCCATTGCTTTACACTGGCCTAAGAACATGACACCAACTTTAATTTCCCCACCGTGGTTTAATGCAATTTCCCATGTTATTTGATTGCTTTTGACATTTAGTCTGTCTGGTGCTTATTTAGGAGAACATCTCTGGCCTCGTTCTTATGGGCTAATGCGTAGTCCATCTTTAACTGATTTGCATAACATCCGTCCAGCAGATGCAAATGGTAATACGCTTTAATCTCATTCTTTTATGCTTGTGAGGCAATACCTGTTTAATTAATTGAGGTTTTTAGGGTTTTTTTTTTTTCCAGTGAATTCATCAAGGGGGAATAAGTATTTTGGAGAATGCCAAGTTGGGTTTACTCACTGTATGAAGCCTGCAAATAAGGAAGCTGCTTCTGACACAGAAACAGATATGAAGATATGGGCACCCCCACAACGGGTACGTTCCTGTACATTCTATAGGGGTTTTGGAGCTGCTGCTCCTGCTTTAGTCACAGTAAACAGTGTCTGCTATAATTCCAAGCAATGGGTAAATAAGGCAAAGATCAATAAAAGTAGTTTCAACAATGTAAACTTTCTGAAATTATCTTCATTCTTGATTTCTTGATGGTTAATGGTAACATTTTGTAGTAGTTTTTGTATCTGAGAACTTGCTTAATGCTATTAATTTCACTTTCCTTAAGGCTATATCATCGATTCATACTGGGTAATTGTTAATGTTGCAAATATACAGAATTATAGGTAAGTTGATGTATTTCTGTTTTTCTCCAATGCCTCCAGGTTAGAGGAGATGTTGCACGAGCATTGATGTACATGGCTATTCGTTATGGGTTTCATCAACCTGGTGAAGGTCCTGTTCTTCGCCTGTCAGATTCACCAAGCGTGGGTAGGTCGAAAGTTGAGTTGAAAAGTTAATGTAATCTAGCTGATAGAATGCTGCAAAATGGAATTGTCTGAAGGGGCAGTGAAACTTTCTCCAAAGGCTGCTGTCAACTGACACATTCAGCTCTTGGAATACTCTTCTCAGTTCTCACTATCTTATTGACATGCTATTACCATTGCTATTTGTCGGTCTATGGTCTTGGACTCCTTGTGTAACATCCTTCAACATGAAACATATTTTATTCTGCACTTAATATATAGTTGTTGGTATTTCTTGAGGACTTGGCTTGCAACAATTTTATCAGAAGTAGAGATAGTGGGCTTTGCTAGACAAGCTCCTTCCCTGGAGCTAAGCTATGATGCTCGTAATGGTTTAGAAAATAGAATTCCAAATTTGATTATAGACTTGATCATACAACGTTTTCTTGATTACTTTCCATATAATTGTAACCCACCAAACTACTAGGACAATTATTCCTACTATACATATATATTTGTTTCTTCTGAATTGTCCATGAATTAATGTATAAGATAACTTATAGAGATAACAGCTGAAAGTTTTTGTAATTAGATGTCCAGAATTTGAACTTGAAACTATATTAACTCTGCATTCCATGATATGATCATGAGTTATCGAAGATTATATTAACTCTGCATTTTATGATATTATGAGTTACCGAAGCTTTTGACTTTTTGCAGTGAAGAAGAAGATGGGACTTCTCTCTGTTTTGTTAAAATGGAATGAGTTAGACCCTCCGTCCACAGAGGAAAAGTTGAGAAATGAAAGAGTATGCAGGTTTTACCAACACAATAGAAACCCATTTGTAGATCATCCGGAGTATGCCAATCTGATATGGAAACATGTTGTTTCAAATCACCAAAAGTCTTCTAGCACCTTGACGCTGTTGTCAATCATCCAGAAATAAGGATTCTGAAAAACGTGAGGTATGTAACACTGATATCGCTGTGTTGCTTTTACAACAAGTAGCCAACAATCATCAAATCTTAAATCACGGCTTACATTTTGTGTTCCCTATGTACGACAGTAGGAGTGCAACATGGGAATATATTAGATAATTTTTTCCCATTCACCTTTTATCCTTGATGATTTCTTTTATATTTCCTTATGTCCTCTCTTGAGTAATTTAACAGTGCATTGCTGTATTCATATACTCATATCAGGTATCGCTTGATTTTGAATAATTCACTTCTGACAATTCTGTTCTCACAGTAGGAATAGGGAGCCATATTGGCCCGTATGCCTCTTACTGCAAGATCATAGAATAGTCCAACAAACATGTCAATTAATGGATAGGTATTACATGTAGTGATATTTACTAATATCTTCTTAGAAGCTTTATGATTTATCAATGATTTTTTATCTCTATCTTCTTGGTAGGTTCTATTCTTAATTTGTTGGGGTCAGTTTCTTATGTACTCAGTCACATGTAAGAAAATTAATAATTATACTATTCATTGATGCTGTTTCCTACACTATTTCTCGTCTCAGCTTGGCTTGGCTTGGCTTGGCATCTGAGTGCAAGCAGCGCCAAGCACTCGAATAAAATTGTAGACATTGTTACATAGTAGATTGTGTTATTATTTGATACTGAAAACTAGAATTGTATAACATTACATGTATTAATGTATTTATGTATGAGACATAATCATTCTTTCCAGCCTCCAAAAGTAAAGTGTGGCCAAACTTATTTCTTTACTAATTAGGATTGCCTACTATGCAGTTAAAAATATACTTGTCCTTTGAAGTTCTGATCATGTTTACGAGCATTATCAAGATGGAAATCCAGAGTTCGTGTGTAGAGCTATGCCTAGATTATGGAAGCGATGACAATTTGTATGAAAATCTCCTTGTACTCTGCTGATGAAAGGTGTTATTCTATCATCTGTCAACCGCGCTCATGTCAGAATTTCAGAAGATGTTGCGCAGCTGAGAGCCAGAACTGAGAACTCCCATCCTGTGTTTCAGCAGCAACTATATATTTCGTATCCAATTTCAGTAAGGTTGCAGATTTCTTAGGAATCCATCTTTGAAATTTGTTTAGGATTGTCCAACTTATACCCAAACTATTGCTTCAGGCTGGTTTTTCACCATCATTCGACCAACTTATGCTTGTATAGTTGTATTTGATCATTATGATTGTGTGAGTTATATATCTGTAATTGGTGTTATGTCAGTTGGAGTTCAGAGGGTGCCGAATTTGAAGATGCACTCCCTTTTGATGATTAGTTTAGACTTTAGGTAGAATACAAGCATGGCACTGATCATGGTTGAAATTGGCATTTAAACGTAATCGATTACTTGTAAAACAAACGAGAGTCATCATAAGCTTAATTTATTTAGTGCTGTAACATGTTTACTTAAAATGAAAGCTGAAAATGCTTCACTTCAAATTAAGAATGATGCAAACTACTACGTATTTGTGTAGTTGTATTACTTATGAAGTTGTAATAATGAAACCCATATGAGTTTAATGAAAGTATGATACCATAAGAAATCTCTCATCATTTCTTGTAATCTATAATGGTCCAAATTGAAACATGAACTTTTGAAGGTCTATTTCACCAGTGCAACTCTAACCAAAACATCAATCTCTCCCCTCGGTGGGAGCAAGGATGTCAATGATGGCGGCGATGAAGGGGCGGCGACAACACCTCACTTCTCCACTAGTGTATTGTCTATATGGCAGGAACATCAGCTTGGAAGGTGAAGGTCATATGAGTTACACAAATGAAGTGTTAAACACTCAAAATTATATTGGATTTTTTAGTTGAAGCAGCCCAATCAAACTCATGAAGTATGAGCATAACTAAACTTGACACGATGAGCTCATGAGTACGCATATTGGCAGGCCACCTACCTGAGCTTAATCAACCCTTAGACACTCGGGTCTATCATAATCCAATGTCATCTTAATCAACCCTTTAAACACCACTTGCGACATCTAGCTACGGCCTAACTAGCATTCCTTTGGAGCCATATCAAAGTAGTGACTATCGATGGAAAGAACGTCGGCCGTGTGGATGTGTATATCTCTTCCCCCATATCTACAAGTCTACAACCACCTAAAATTTCTATACCAATCATCCATAATGGGTACATTTTCTACATCCAAACCTTCCAAGTGTGTATAAATCTAAATCCATGCCGGCTCCACCACTTAGATCTCCACTACCTAGGTAAAACCTGCATATGCTCATCTATTATCTAGCTACTACCCAATTATACCTACTTGGAACTACCAAGTGTTTATTTTAAAAAATACTACCTTCGTTAATGGTTATCTGTAACTCTAGGGTATTATTTGTTAGATATAAAATATTCTAAAGTTGCAGATAACCATTAACGAAGGTAGTATATAAAGTACATGTATGGAGCATATAGTTGTGAAATCAAGATGGAGATTTGACGAGTGAGTGAATGCGAGGTGGATTAGGCGGAAATGATCTCAAACCTACCTATTGCCCTTGACGGGTATGACATTTTAATATCCATACTCACTCACTATTAACCTAGTGCCATACCCATACTCACTCCAATTGGGATTTGTGCAGTACAAAATCCACATAATTATACTCACTTGTCATCCCTAAATTCTATCAATCTGACAATTTTTTCAGACTAGACATCAATGACCTATATTCGATTATTCGGATTTCAAATTGATATTTTTTCCAACCCAAATGAGCTTAAAGCTATTTTGTCTACAAACCCATCCAACCCATCATAGCATAGCCTAATTTTACTCTTGTTACTCGGCCTAATTTACCAAATTGGTAAATAAAAAAGACTACTAGCAACAATTTGATAAAAAAAAGTTAACACCAAAGGACAATTTAGTTTTTGTTTTTGTTTTTTTTATCTCAAATGACATTTAGACCGCCGGGTTTTACCGCCCGACCCTTAGCCCCAAACATTCACACGGCCGTGCAACCCGAGCCCGTGTTTGATAGTGTTAGGGTTTCCACCCTAAAAATAAAGTCACTCGAACTCTCTATCTTTCCCTCCTCTCTACAGAAAACACAACACCCAATTTCTACGGCTTCTTCCTCTTTCTCTGTCCTCCTTTCTCCGTCATCAATGGCGGCCGAAGAACCCTCAGCCGTCTCAGAAACCACCATATCTATTTCCCTAATTAAGGGTTTAGCCTCCTGCGACACTTCTGTTCGATCCAAATCCCTAAAAACCATTCTCCATTGGCTTTCTGCGCAAACCCTAGTTTCCGACGATGAATTCAAGAAGCTCTGGAAAGCTCTATTCTACTGTATGTGGCATTGCGACATGATTGAAAATCAAACCCAGCTTATCAATCGTCTTTCTAGTCTTCTCCCTAAACTCCCTTACCCGCTTTCTCTCTCTTACTTCTCTCACTTCCTGCTTACTATGCGGAAGGAGTGGCCCGGCATTGATCATCTCAGGTTAGACAAATTCTATCTTTTGATTCGTTTTTTTGTTAGGAATTTGTTTGTTTTGTTGAAGGAATTGAACTGGGATTTGTCTGTTTTGGGGGAATTTGTTGGGGTTTTGGAGAACAAGGCTTTCTTCTTTGTTGATGATGAAGGGAAAGGGGATAATGGGTTGGGAAATGGGGTTACTTATCATGTTGTTTCGGTTTTTTGTGATGAAATTAAGCCATTTTTGCCATTGAATTTGGAGGTTTTGAACTTGTTGTTTCGACCCTTTGTTGGTGTTTTGAGTAAGAGTGATAATAAGGTGTTAGTGGGTAAAGTTAAGAGTAATGTTTTTGGTAATTTGATTAAGAATGCAAAGGGTTTGTTGGCGGCGAAGAAGTCGGGTGATGCCGAGGTTGATGAGAAGGGTGAGATGATGTTGTTTGGAACAATTGGTTTAGCAATGGGATATGGGACGAGGTTGTACGAATTAGGTTCGTCTCCTGATTGTCTTCAGGGGAATAGGAAGGTAATATTTGGTTTACAAGAGGAGTTTTCGAAGTTAGAGAAGGAGAAGGCGGCTTTGGGTATCGATTTTTCGCTTCCTGAGTTTGATGGTGAGGTGCCCCTTGTGGTTTCTAGTAATGGTGATGTAAATGGGGTTGTAGAGGTTGAATTGCCTAAGAAAGAAGCTTTCAAAGAGAAGAAGTCTAAGAAGAAAAAGAAGAAGAATGAGGTTGCTAATCATGGTGGTGTAAGTGGGAATGATTCTAACGGCGATACTGATATGAGTTTGAGTGTGAGAATGAGTGTAGGGAATGAACTGGAGGAGAAGAAGTCAAAGAAGAAAAAGAAGAAGAATCAAGGTGGAGCTAGTGGGAATGATTCTAACGGCGATACTGATATGGTTAACATGAGTGAGAATTTGAATGCAAAAGCTGAAGATGGAGGCAATGCACTAGAACTAGAACTAAATGAGGACATGATGTCCAATCTCCAAAAGCAGTTTGAGAAGATTGCTGCTGAGTCTGGATTAGATGGTGATGGTTTGAGTGCACTTGATTCTCCGAAACCTGTGCAAGTCAGTGGCAAGCCTGGTAAGAAGCGTAAGAGATCAAAGTCAGTGGCTAATGCCGATACAATTGGCCAGGACGATATAGAAAAGGGAGTTATGATGAACACAGAGGAGAAGAGTGGAAAGAGAGTTAGATTTGCTATGAAGAATAATATTGTTTGGAAACCTCATAATCCTTTACCACCCCAAAATGTGAGGATACCTCCGTCTTCCACACCTAGAGGGAGTGCCCTTAAGAAGGGTGTGTCCCCCGGACCCATTAGAGATTCGTCTCTAGATGCCAAGAAGAAGAAGAGGAAACCTAGTCCACTGAAGAAATCTAGGAAGGTGAAGAGCATATCCCCCTCAGTCAAACGTATCAAGAAGAAGAAGGTCAAGTCATTATCTGCCTAGTTGCTTCTCCATCTTACTTTTGGGTGCAGAAGTTAGAAGCCCCCCGTGTTATATGGTGTGAAATCGAAGAGATGACTGTATTGTGCTTTGTGGATTTCTGTCTTGTTATGAGCCAGATAGTAGACTGATGAATGAGGCACAGAGAGTATGCTTATATATTTGGATTTTCTATAATACCATGAATCTATGATTGCCGTTTGATCATATGGAAAGGTAGATTATTGAATTAATTCTTTGCCTATACTTATGCGACATATTTCGTGATGTGAAATACTCGGCTTTGATCAGACTGATACTAAGTTTCAGGTGAATCAACCATAAGTTTTGTATTCAAATTTTTTTTTCCCCAGATTCTACTTCAATTTTGCAACTTTGTAACTTTTTTGTTTTTGTTTTTCTAGGACATTGTAGTTTGCAACATGTTAACTTTGTTTTCTTACAGTCTAACCCAAAGATGTGTGGTTAGCTTAGAAATAGAAGCTGTTATATTTAGGAAGTAAATCCTTTCAAAAATGCTGTTCTTTGCAAAACGAATTTCCCTTTGCTTGGTAAAAAATCTCAGATGAAGAGGGGTTTGGATCCGCGACCTGCTTCATATATCCGCTCTGTGCCTCTGCCTTTTGTTACAAAGTATGCAAGCAATGCTGCAACTTCCCCAATTGTGTTTTGCAGTTTTGTTTACTAATTGAGTTTGTTAATGCATTTGTTGGCTTATGAAATCATGAATTGTCCTGTTACATATGCATATCCATTTCACGTTCCTAGTCACTGAGTATGAGATTAGTCTCGCTAACCCTCTAGCATAGCTACTAAGCTCATAACTCAGTAAATTCATGATTTTTTTTGTTTATTTATTTATTTTTTTGCAGAAATGCACGTTTTTATTTCTGTACATAGAGATATATTACTACCTCCGATTTTTTTTGTTGCAACTTTGGAATATTTTATACTAGATGAAGCCCGTGCGAGGCACGGTTTGTTAATTTTTTAAATACTCGTAATTTTTTTTTATATATATATATTTATGTGCTAAAATTTGTTATATATTTAGATAAAATTCCTGATATCAAAAGATAATATTTTATATTTAATTAATTTAAATTGGAAAATCTCATTCGCCAATTTTGCTTATGTGTCATTTAAATTATTTAATTCTAAAATAAAATTTATTATCTTACGTGGCACACTGAAAAAATTAAGTCCTAAGTGGCTCTCTAAAAAATCGGGAAAAAACTCCTCTTTTTTATATATATATATATATATATATATATATATATATATATATATATATATTAGATTTTATAAATAATACCTCAAAGGGAAAATGGCAATGTCGTGCATCATGGTGATGACTAGTAAGTGGGCAGCAAGACTAACAACATAGTCACGAAATAAATAAATAAGGATGGATGAATCATCTTGTTTAGTGCCTTAGTCATCGTTGTATTTTTCTAAGGACCAAATATCTGTTCAAAGTCTAATGCTTTCTACATTCAATTAACATTAATAATAGGAGTAGATAAAATCCATTTACATTCAATTAACACTCTTGTGGAATACTTGGTTAAATCTTTTTAACAATACCTTAATTTCTCTCTTTTGTCTAATGGATATTACTTTGTAAATAAGTGATGATTCTGACATTCTATAAATTGATTGTTATACTATCGTTTGTACGAGCACAATTTTTTTTTTAATGCTCTACTCATAACGAGAAGTGCCAAAATTAATTTCCAAGCAATTAACATCCTATACTATTTGATCTTTGTAAAGCATAGCAATACTCATTTGTTTATTAGAGGCTTTTCTAAACCCTTTTAAGGAGAGGACAAATACTTGGTAAAATAATGGGAAGTCCTACCTTTTTTTCATCCCATACAAAATAGTACTAATAAACCCATGTGCATATAGCTTAGTAAAAACTCAATTTTCTTAATTATTTACCACTTTCCTTACAAAAATTGTAAATTCTACCCTATGTAATAATTGAGATTAATTAGTACAACAAGGTGTTATTAGAAGGGGCCTAATCTAAAGGCTAAAAGGGTGTTAAAAAAGGGCAAAAGAATGAAATAGTTATACCCCACAACTAAGTCACTTTTTCTTGGGCTTTTGTTGTTTTATTTTTTAAGAAATGAAGGGTCACTTTCATGGGCTTTGATTCTATTGGCCGGTCACCGCCCACCTCTCATTCTCTCTCCTCACAAAGCGGAAGTCAGCAACATTACCAGCCTTAAAGTTTTATTCTTCTTGCATCTTTTTTTGCCCTAAATAAATATTCTTGTACTACCAATATCATTACTCCATATTTTAGTTTTTCATAAACTGATTAATTTAATTAGCTTAATAATAGGATTATGTGAACTCAATAAAGAATTCTGATTTTTAATACTTGTAGACTAGTCAAGTGGGTCATCGAACTGGTCGGTTAGCTCATACTCTCGTGCAAATTTCAAAGAATCCTTAGTTTCAGTTTTACATCTTCCCCCTTATGCTATGGAGGTCGTTAGCGCTACCAGTCTATTTCTTCTTCTGCTTGATTTGGTCCAAAACTTGGAAAAAAATCGATTCAAATTGGTAATTCAAGGTCCTTTAGATTATACATTATTTAAAGAAGGTTTACATATGATAGAAACTTATGTAATTGTAATTCTATAGTGAAAATATTAAAACTCATTTATATTTTGTACTCATGCATTGTGATTAGGATATTGGAAAATACTAGTAAATTTTTTGTAAAAATAAAAATTGCATTTTTTGTATAAGAACCCGGCTCAAAATTAGACCATAACTAACAATTCCAATTCGATATTTGATTCACTAATAGAGACAATTTTAGTCTTATTGGTTTTGATCTAGTTAGATTTTGGACCAGTGCACAATCCTATATTCACTACATGTAAGATTATATGCCCAGGAATCCAAGACAATTTGAAGTAAAACTTGACTCGACAAATATCATTATTTAGCATGCATCTATATCGGTAGGTGACATAACAATGTGCTATCAACAATTCTAAATTACGTATGATGGTGATGTATATCTCGAGCCTTAAAAGTTTAAACTTTAGGTTAATATAAGACGCTTAAACAACATGCATTTATTTTTTTTTTTGAAACCAAACAACATGAATTTTAGAGATAAGTCGTGAGTGATACCAAATTTCTTTCTTCTAATCCCTACTTTATAAAAAGTGGGAAAAATCTCTTATGAATAGTGTGAAGACAATAATATCCTCAAAATGTTATTTTACATATATGCCCTCAATTGATATTAGATTAATTACCCTTTTATTATTTGCTCCTCCTGCATTCAATTTAAATAAAAAAAAAAAATAAAAAAACAAAAAAAACGCTCCTCCTTCCTCCTCTATTGAAGTGACTTGTGAGTATATGCCCTCAATTGATATTAGATTAATTACCCTTTTATTATTTGCTCTTTTCTTTCTCTTAAACGCTCCACCTGCATTCAATTTAAAAAAAAAAAAAAACGCTCCTCCTTCCTCCTCTATTGAAGTGACTTGTGAGTACTCTATTGAAGCACTTAGCGAGCTTTCTCTCCTCCATTGAAATAGTTTATGTGGTGAGGCAAATTTTTTTATTCAATTTTTTTTTTATTTAAATTATTGAATATCAAGTTCACAATCTAGGTTTGTTAAGTTTATTGTCTACGTTTTTTTTTCTCATCAATTTTAGTAGCAAAGAACACTGATACGCATGCATCTGAATCAATTGTAGCATGTATTTTGAAATTTATGTTTTAAATATATTGGCAATCTCAATTTAAATTCCATAATTTCTGTTCTCTTGATTTTGGTTTGATTGAATTTTACAACCCTCGATTAATTATTGAATTGATACGAATTAATTGTAGAAAGGAGTTTGATTAGGAGACTAGCATTGTTATCTAATATAGCCAGCCAATTCAATTAGTCAATATAAGAGGCTAATAAAGCAATAATCATTCTAGCAATTCTACAATTAAGTAGTGCCAAAGTAGATGTCCATACACATCACCGGACTTGGTGCGTATAAAACACAATTATTATATAATACTCCGTGTCAAATAATAGTTCCCAATCAACAGTCCATATATCACCTAATCCTAATATGATGTTTCTTAGAAAGGGATGAAAATATATGGAAGAATTCAATCCCATGACAAAACCTCCTCTCAATTTTGATGTTTTTGTATAGAATTTGATTGATTTATTGATTTTATTTTGTAGACTCCTAAATCACCGAAGAGCAAAGTATGGTTGCCGAAATTCTCGGACGATCAGCATGCTCAAACCTCACGGTTAACACTGAAATGGAAATTATTATACTTGTTCAGAGTAAAATTAGTGTAATTATGTGAGATTTTTTTTGTACTGTGAATATGGACTGGTTTTAACTTCCCCTGCCATGATAATGCCCTTTGGTCAACAAGTAAATTGTCAATGACTTGTGGGATGCCTCAATGGAAAAGGTGGGATATGAAGCTCATGGAACTTTGGCTCTAATCTCCCTTATCAATAATTTGCTCTTTATTGGTATAATTTTGTTTAGTTTTTACAAGTCTTTTTAGTTTTGTAAAACATTATTTCTAAAAAAATATACTGTGACAATAAGATTAAGAGTCAATATATAAAAAATAACTTAATTTTTATCTGGTATATTGGTCCTGTGGATTGGCTATCTTATACATATATATTTGTGGATGTATATGCAGAGATAACAGTTGGTACTCGTGGTATTATTGTTTCTTGATGACATAATTGAACAATACTTCTTACTTATTGGAGAAGAGTTTACCATGAAATATTCTAAGCTCATCTTAACAAAAGATGGTACAACAGAAGCCTAGCTACAAAAGAGTGATCAACAAACTAAGTACTTTGATGGTTGAAGGTGGCAAATCTCACCAGGCGCTAAACAAATTTTATGGAACATTATTCTTTAGTTGTTAAAAAATGGGTAGGGACTAGGGAGGGAGTCATATATTTATGTTGTACACA